AGTTATCAACCAATCTTTTCTCCTTGATGTTACTCCTTTCATCATACTCTAAAATCATTCTCTTCATTATAAATTATACCTGGCCATGAAGAGGTATTAGTTTGATCAAACAGTTTGTGGCTAACAGTTAAAAGCAAAGAGATTTCATACAGAAATGAGTTTCCAAGACTTGGAAAAAAATTATATTAACTGAAGTAAGCCAGACCCCCAAAAACATAGGTCCCATGGTTTCCCTTATCTGCAATAACTAGTATATGTCTAGGACAAGCAAAAGAGGTCATATAATCATATAAGCTGATGCTAAGTGAAATGAACCCAAGATAGGGACACAAGAGATTTTATCTTTCTTGCTATCCTTGTTAATGTACTTATAATGTATTATGTGATTTTTTTTCTTTGAATGTTCTTCCCCCATGGTTTAACCCTTGTTGTCACTGTATTTGATTCTGGTGTCCTGCATCTTATATATACATTTTTCTAATTTGGGGAGGGAAAGGAAAAACAAAATGCTTAAATAAGGATACAGGATGACCCATTGTAACAATAAGATGTACAAGACACTATGTTGAAAACAAACTTTACAACTTTCTGAGGAGGGGAAATTCAGGGAGGTGGGGAGGAAAGGGAAGGTAGGAAAAAAACAAAGGAGGGAGTAACAATGCTCGATAGGAAATGGACTCACTACCTTGTTCATGTAATTGTAACCCCTCTGTACAGTATCTTTACAAGAAAAATATATATTAAAATGTAAAAGAAAGAAATGAGTTTCCAGCATCTACTGTAACGGCCATTGAATGCCAGCTATCAAATGCTGGAGAGAACAACAGGGTACACAAAAAAGTCACATGCAGAGCCTCAGGCCTGGAAGGAAATATGGAATATGGCCAACTGACTACAAAATGCACCTCTGTGCTAGTTTGCTAAGAAGGTGGTTGTGATGAAAATGCAAATTAGATGACAAACAAACCTCATAGTTCTGAAAGAAATCTATGGCCAAGGTGTGGACAGCTCCCTCTAGAGGTGCTGAAAGGAACTGTCCAGGAACTCTCCACCTCTCCCAAACTCCACCTTCCTGAAATTCCACAGTGCCATGTGTGTGCCAGTGTGTGCATGGGCACACAGTGTGGTGTCCAATCACCCTTACAAAGATGGAAGCTGTATTGGAATAGCCCATTCTACTCCAGTATATGATCTCATGGTAACTACTTCTACGAATACCCTATTTCCAATAAGGTCATATTCTGAAATGTCAGGGCTAAGATTTCAATACATGAATTTTGCTGTACAATTCACCTCAAGCCACCCTCTCTGACTCACATACCGCACCCCTCTTAGGCCTCCACTCTCCTGAGAGAACGAATCCTCTTAGTATTTTCTCTCCAGAAAACTAGGCAGGAAAAGGCATTTCTAGAAATGGAAGGGCACTAGGTTGGACTGTTAATCAGAACTAACATAGTAGATGATACTGAAGGACTTTCTGAAGGGTAGATGATAGGTAAATAATCTGAAATTAATGGAGTCTTTTCCAATGTGTATGTAATGAGGCCATGCACACATAGACAGCAAGCATCCACGTTATATGAGAAAGGAGAAAGGAAGGACAGGCTGTCTGCACTAGATTCCAGATAGGGAAGTAGAGAGGCAAGCCACAGCAAAGACATTAAACTGTTTTCTGGAGGGAACAGTGGAAAGCAAAAGACTGTACTGAGCTGAGTTGCAAAATGAAGTAGAGTTAGGGGTACCAGGCATGCTGGGAATTTCAAGAAGAGGCAAAGGTGCAGATGCTGAAAGCAAGACATCTAGAAGAGACACAAGACTGGCATTTGGCCAAGTGCTGGTGGCTATAATCCTAGCTACTCAGGAGTCTGACATCTGAGCATCATGGTTTGAGCCAGCCCAGGTAGGAAAAAGTCAATGAGACATCTCTAATTAACCACCAGAAAACCAGATGTGGCACAGTGGCTCCTAGTGGTAGAGTGAAAAAGTACAGGCACTCAGTACCCAGGCACTGAGTTCAAACTCCATGACCAAAAAGAAAAAAGAAGAAAAGGAGTATGGTACTTGTAAAGGAAATGCAAAATCAATTGGACAACCCTGAGATTCTACTGTGAACTCAAACAACAAATTTTGGTAGGAATGTGGGGGTAAAAGGAACCCTATTGCACTGTTGGTGGAAATGTAAACTACTACCACCACTCTGGACAGCAGTCTGGAAGTTCCTCAAAAAACTAAACAGAGACCTTCCTTACAGCCCAGACATACCACTTCCTGGGCATCTACCCAGAACATTATAAACCAGGATATCATAAAAACACTTGCACATCCATGTTCATTGCTGCACTATTCACAATAGCCAAGTTGTAGAAATAGTTCAGATGCTCCACAATAGATGAGTGGATCCTAAAAACGTGGATTTTCACACAGTGAAGCTTTACACAATGTCAGTTACAGGGAATGGATCAACCTAGAACAAATCACATTAAGTGAGGTAAGCCAAGCTCAGAAGCTAAATGGCACGGTTCTCAGATGGAAAAGCTAGACCTACACTGGGACATAATCAATTAGACAGATCTTTAGGCATTCACACACAGTGAGACCAAAGGAGGATACTCAGGAGAGGAACAAAAAAAAGGCGAAATATCTATGTGCATCTGATCATATAATATTTATTGACATGAATTCCAGATATGGAAACAAGAGGTTTTTTATTTTCTGTCTCATTTGTTTATCTGCCTTTGAGAAGGCAAAGGGGGCACAAAAATGGAGGGACAAAGGGTAAATAAACACAGCAGTTGTACTCACTAGACACTGTTAAAAATGAACTATACAACTTGTGGATGGGGATGGGAGGGAAATACTGGGAGAGAGTAAGGGAAGGAGTGACATTATCCAAAAAGAAATGTAGTCATTGTCTTTCTTCTGTAACTGTAACCCCTTTGTACATCACCTTTATAATAAAAAAAAAATTTTTAAAGTATGGCATTTAGAGGCATGTTGGATAAGTACGCCCCCCTACCCCCCACCAGCTGTCCCCCACCATTATCTTTTTCTGTGAGGGCATCTTCTTTATGAGAATTAACTGGCAGCTGTAACCTGCTCCCAGCTATACAAACTCAAAAGGTTCTATCAGCCAGGGTTCAGTCCAAAAGCACATCATTAACTAAAACAGGGAAATGTAATATAATTAGCAAATTAATAAAGGGGAACTCATAAGAGCAGCAAACACAAGGCACACATACTCGCCTCCCTTCTTTAGCTGCTTCACACTGAGATTTCAAAGAAACTCACTAGATTGCCACTAGACTTCCCCCACTGAGCCCGGGGATAAGGAGAAACAGCAGAAGGACATGCCCTTCCCTATACCTATCAGTGTGTCCTGGCTTCCCATAGAGCCTAAAAGCACCAGCTAGTGATGGAAAAACTTAAAAGGCCCAGCTCAATTGTCTTCAGGCTGGGCAAAAAGGGTGGACATAGGGACATGAACTGAGACAGTAAACTGCTGAATGACCAGAGAGGTCTCCACTCTTGCTCCTGCACTCACTGCAAGCCTAGAAAGCAACACACATGCAAGTGCAAGCACACACACACACATGCACACACAGGGAAGTGGATATCATTTTATTTACTAGCTTAGTACAATGTCTACCATGGTAGTGTCTATCCTGGCAGTGCTCTACGTGTTTGAAAAGAATGTGTGTCCTGCAACTGTAGAGTACCCTAGATTCACTAATAGGAAAACATCCAGACCATGGTTCATTGTATTACAGAGCTCTTGGTGTGTGCATGTGCATGTGTGTGCACACCAGTACTGGGACTTGAATTCAGGGTTTGGGTGTTGTCCCTTAGTTTTTTTTCACTCAAGGCTGGTGCTCTACCACTTTAGCCATAGCTCCCACTCTAGCTTTTTGGTAGTTAATTGGAGAAAAGAGTCTCACAGGGACTTTCCTGTCTGTGCTGGCTTCTAACTGTGATCTTCAGATCAGCCTCCTAAGCAGCAAAGATTATAGGCATAAGCCCCCTTTGCCTGGCTTATAGGGCTTCTTTAAAACAAAACCAAGTTTTTTTGGTTTGAGACAGGGTCATATTATGTAGCCCAGGCTGGTCTTGAACTCATGATCTTCCTACCTCAGCCTCCACTGAGATTACAGTGCATGCCATCACATTCAACTTAAAAACTCAGTATAATAAAAGTAAGCCAAGTTGGGCTCAGGTGGCTCACACCTATAATCCTACTCAGGAGGCTGAGGATTGCAGTTCAAAGCCAGCCCGGGCAAGAACAGGAAAGTCTGTGAGGTTATCATCTCCAATAAACCACTCAAAAACTGGAAGTGGCACTGTGGCTCAAGTGGTAGGGCACTTACCTTGAGCTGAAGAGCTAAGGGGCCAAACCCAGGCCCAGAGTTCAAGCCCTACAACCAACAAAAAAAAATAAACCATAAAGCTATGCAGCCAGTGGCTCACGCTTATAATCCTTGCTACTCAGAAGGGCTGAGATCTGTCTGAAGATCTCAGTTCAAAGCCAGTCCAGGCAGAAAAGTCGCCATGAGACTCATCTCTAATTAACCACTCAAAAACCAGACATGGTGCTGTGGCTTAAAGTGGCAGAGCATTAGCCTTGAGCAAAAGAACTCAGGGACAGTGCCCAGGCCCTGAGTTCAAGCCCCATGACTACCACTACCACCACCACCAGCAACAACAACAACAAAAAAAACCTTAAGAGGAGTGGCTAAACTTAAAAGGAGCTAAGGAAATGTTAAAACAAAGTTAAATGTGTAGATCTGGGGGACAGGAGAGAGGAGGAAAGACGAAGAAGAATAGATATGGGGGATGGGAGTAATCTCCAAAATAATCAGCAAAGAGCCACATGGTCAAGTGGTAGAAAGCTAGCTAAGTAAGCAAGAAAGATACCCTGAATTCAAATCCCATTACTAGAAAAAAATGTTTAAGAATTCACATACTTATTGGATCCATGAGGACAAAGCTGGAAGCAAAAAAAACTATTTTTTAAAAAAATTCGTTTATTAAAAACAGCAATTTCTAGCCAAATAATATAAAGCATTTTAAATTAATTATTTCAAAGTATGTACACTCTGTATAAGTAAACACGTGAAACTGTACAGATTTAAACAAATATTCATTTAGCAAACAAGTTGGATCACTATTTCCTACCCAGCACTTTGTAAGGTATCTGAATGTTTCTGAAACGAAAGATCAAACCACAAGAACAAGTGCCATTACATACTTGTATCCCGAAGAACACATTCGGCTTTGTACAGCAAACTAATCAGTCACAGTACTGTACAATAATCATGCCTTCATTTCTTTGGAAAGGCTATTGGAAAACCATAATATACATATAATACATGAAACTGGATATTTTACAGTTTATTTCATTAAACATATTTAAAACAGTAAATGTAAGTAAATATAATTTTCCTAATTCATTTATGGCAAAGAAAGAATATGGACCCTCTTACCTTCCCAAAATAGAGAGTAATAAGCTCTATCAAACAATGTCCACCACCAATTCAAACCTGGTTGAAAAGCAACTGACCTGCTACAGGCCTCAGGAGCCCTGTGCAAGAGCCTGCGTTCAGGCTAAGGAGCATGCTACTCATACCACCTGCACTACAAGGTCACTGGCTCCATTCCAGAACCCCACTGCATGAGAATTCTCAATGACTCAGAATTCTTTTTTGAACAACAACAACAAAAAAGGCTACATTTACTGTAACATCAGAGGCAAAAAGCAATCCAATTCTGAATTTGAAAAATTTGTAGGAAAATTCGCAGATACTCATAATTTGTGATCCCTGATACAGTATGGGCAGTGTTTGTCATCCTTCCATTTGTGGGTGAATGTATCCTACTGTGGCAGGGCTGGAGATTCCAAGGCTGCCACAGCACTGGGCAGGCAGATAAAGAGATACACAGGAAAGCGTTTGCCTTTTAAAGGACAACTGTAACGGAAGGTAGTATGCAGAAAACGACTGACTACACTTCATTCATGAAACCTGCCGCTCATTAGTGTCTTTCTCCTTGATGTCCCAGACTCAAGACACATTAATTGGTAATCCCCACACACACCTACAGACTACAGTACCCTGAAGATCTGCACTGAAGAGGCCAATCCCACCTGTGTCTGTGGTGGCTACAGTTCCCTGCTCTGAATGCTCTGCACCCCAGCCATTCAAGGGGCATGGGTTACATGAGGCCTCTGCCTCTTCCTCTCCCAGACAAAGATGACACCCTGAATTCCCAGGAGAGCAAGGAAGATGCATTCTTAAATGGAACTATAAGTACTCCCAACTAAGCTTCAAAATGATAGAAGAAACATGACATAAAATAGAGTGTAGAAGTAAGATTTCTGGAAGTACAAAAATAGTCACTGTGGAATGCTCATTGGTTAAAAGTGTTGCAGTGTCTCAAGCATTAACAGCTTTCCCGTTAGCTGTATTTCCATAAAGTTCTTTGCACTACTTATTGTAACCTCTTTTTATTGCACAACGTTTGTGAGGAAACATTTCCCACATGGCTACTATAGAAGCTTCTGCTCTGGTGACTGCTGACATAGGATGGTTACCACCACTCATCAATGAATCTTTGGCATATGGTGTCTGTGAAAGAGTAACACCAATCTCTTCACTTCGCTTTGTTTCCTTCTGCTGGCAGCATGGAGCAGCATGCCCAGGTGGTTCTCAAGATTCCCATATAGCCTTCTTCAGCACCCTGCAGGCCACCAAGACTCCTCAGCACTGGCCCACAGGACACTGCTAACACACAGCCCAGCCCAGTCCAACAGGCCTGCTTAATTAGACACGGAGAGCAGAAAGTTCACCTGAAAAGCAATGAGAATGGCTGTGTTAGTTCTGCTGTGGAACATCACCTAGAGAGAAGTTGGCTAAGGATAGGAAAACAGGAGGGGGGGGGGGGGGGGGGGGGAAATCAAGTTATTTTTATGGTGTTTGCTTGGTTTTATTTTGATAAAGGTCTTTTTATATGGTATAGCTAGTGTCGAATCCACAATCCTCCTACCTCAGCCTCTTAAGTGCTGGGATCAAGATAAATTTTTATAGCCACTAGGCCCATGAGGAGCTACCCTCCATTACTGAATCCAGGCCCAAAAGTCATTTAAAGTCCAGGGACTAATGACACATTACACTAGCACTTACAAAAGACAGAAATATATGTTCCACAAAGATGTGATCCCTGGCAACAGCCAGTGAACTGAGACTGGACCAGACTGGAGAAAGTATCTACAAAGAAGGTGACTGGGACTTTGGACTTGAATATGAACTATAGATCAGACAACAGGACTAACAAATTCCTGCTTTGATAACTATATAGGAGGAGTATGAAGAGGATAAGGAAACATCTTTCTCTCTTAGATACTCTGAAGTGTCACCCAACACACTCTCATGTTACTTAAAAGAGGGGCTAGGGAGTGGCTGGGAAGGTGGCTCAGTGGTAGAGTGCTTGCCTTGCATGCATGAGGCCCTGAGTCTGATTCCTCAGTCTCACATAAGCAGAAAAAGCTAGAGGTGGTGCTGTGGCTCAAGTGGTAAAGTGCTCTCCTTGAGCTAAAGAGCTGAGGGACAGCGCCCAGGCCCAGAGTTCAGGCCCCACAACTGACAAAAAAAAAGAGAGAGAGAGAGGGGCTAGGAAGAAGTGGGGGAAAGTGAAGATTAAAGCAAACTGGTCAAATTGTAGGTTGGGAAAAGGATATTTGGGAGCTCCTTATGCCACCGCTGCATTTTTCCCTTCAAGTTGGAAATTGTAACAAAATGAATTTCCAATATCTACTCATTTCAATCACACTTTCTTCAACCATACCTCTCCATCTAAAACTTACCGTCTACTACATTTCTAATCTATACTAAGCTTAGCAATGAAAAGTAAACATTCTCAAAGCACCAGGCTACTGCTAATATATAGCAGGTACTCAATTCATATTCGCTGACTGCATTAAATTTAAAATGAGAGCTAGCAACTGGGCTTCATATTGTTTTTTTTATTTGAGGGAAAAAAATAGAACTACTTCTAGTATCTATTCTACTCTCTAAAATAACTTCTATTACTATGTGTATTTCAAATGTAATTGTAAATTAACTGGCAGTATTTGGGGCCTTCACAAACAGGCCATTCAATTTAAACATAGTAATTTTCACTATCAGAAACTTAAAATGCAGCTGAATACTCAAAAGCCATCCTATAAAACTGGAAACAGCAATTCAAAATTCAAATTCTTGTTCATTCAAATAACATAATGCACAGTGTGGTTTTAAAGTGAAAACTAAAAACACAATTATCTACTCAAATGAAATAACCATAGAGCCTAAAAATATCAGATCTTCAGTGTCCATTACCTGTTCCATGGAAGGACAAGCAATGACCTCGATGTCTTCAGGGCTGAACTCTTCCTTTAGCAAGGTATGGAACTTCTGGAAGACTTGCTGAATGTTATTCTTAGAAAGAAGGGCAAGTGACCATATGAGATAAGTCACAGAAAACACACCTACACCTTACACATCAAGCACTGAGAGGGTTAAATCACCATGATTTTTGCAAAAATAGGTGGAGGGAATATATTTTTAATGAGATTTCCAAAGATACAGAATTTGCACATGCTAGTGCAACCTGATGAAGACTTGTCAGATAATATTTCCTGGAAAAACTAAGCTCTTGTAAAACCTATGTCCCCAGAGATTTTATTAAAAGTCTTCAGCAATTTCTTAAGAGTTTATTAGACTTTTTTATTTTATTTTTTGTCAGTCATGGGGCTTGAACTCTGGGCCTGGCCACTGTTCCTCAGCTCTTCAGCTCAAGGCAAGTGTTCTACCACGTTTGCCACAGCGCCCCTTCCTTCAGCAATTTCTTATGCAAAAAAAACTACCAATGTTTCAAAACATACAAAATGTACTTTAAAAATCTGCCAATGCCTTGGGTAATGATGTGAGCTTAACATAAACTGGATGTTATAAGTCTTAAATTCTCTCTGAGACTTAATCCCTTGGTGGCTTCTGGAAGCAATTTATTTCCAATACTCACTAGGAAAATGGGGCCTCATTCCTGAAATGCTGTGGCCCAGTGTGGGGGCCAAACACCATGTGAAGGGGGGCTGAGTTTTTGTTGATTTGTTAATTTCTACTTTAAATTAACATAGAAAACTTAAGACAAAGTGACAGTGAAGGGAAAAAAGAGATAATCTGACAGCTCAAGGCTCAAAGGCCTTTCAAGAATCACAGTAATTATTCATCTGCTTCACTAAGTAGCTCCCTAACACTTTCAGTGTCTATGAGAAGAGCAAATGGTAGATGTGAAAAGCCACTTAAAGTTACAGTCCAACATTCCAATAAACTACCATTCTACTCACCTTAACAGGCTTGAACAAGATGAACTCTGTCTCTTTGTTGGACAGGTAGAGTGACATGCTTTTCAGTATCAGTGGCAGCTTTGTCTTTAATGTTTTATAGGCAGTTGTACCAAGTTCACCAACTTTAGCTGTAAAGAAATTACCCTTATTAGTAGTCACAAAGGAGAAAAGAACAAAGATGACTTAAGAAAGAGAAAAATAGCAAATGGCTCCTTATTTCCCCAAAGAATTTCTTTTATAATTCTTGTGTGTTTGCACAGTTTAATCACAAGCCCTATAAACATACAAGTTTCTACAACATACAGGAACTCTAATCCTTAGGGCTGAGAGAGCAAACTACCACCCTTAACTGTTCTCTTCCCTCCCTCCCTCGGCACACTTCAGGACACATTTCAGGACCTACAATAGGTATCTTTAAATCTGGCAATAGGACATAAGGCTTACTTATTTATACATATGTATATTATGCTATTTTTAGAGAGACACTAGCAAAAATTACTTCATATGAACTGATGCAGTTGGAGGCACTCTCCAACCAGTTTGCTTGGGTCACACAAGTTTAAGGGAATGAAATGTCCATGTTACATTCTTTTTTAACCATTTGTTACATTCTTACATTGTATTAACAGACAAGGAATAGAATTCCAGAAGTTTTGAAGTAAAGTAATTACATAACTCAAGTGCAGTCAATATCTGAAGGAACTACATAGAACAGAGCAGTCACTTGTATGATAGCTGCAAAGGAAAAGATGACTCATTTCAAAGATGCTCAAAATTAAAGTAAATTCAAACAGTGAGAAATTTACAAATTGACAAAAAAATTAGCAAAATAGATTGTAGATATCCATGGTTGACAAGAGTGTAAAGAAAATTCTCAGGCTCCACATTTACAGATTCAACCAACTACAGATTTTAAATATTCCAAAAACAAAAGTGTGACTGTACCAAGCATATATGGACTATTGTTATTTTCCTCTAATCAATATATATAACTACAGCATTTATATTACATTAACTATTACAAGTAATATGGAGATAAAGTATATAGGAGGATGCTCCTCAGATATTTTGCAAGTGCACCATGTTTATATAAGAGACCAGAGCATCTGTGCATTTTGGCATCTGCTGGGTGGCCTTGAAACCATCCCCAGCAGCTACTAAGAGACAATGAATCTTCACCAGAGGCTCCCATCAAGAAATACCAAATGATTCAACCTCATTGGGAGGATATTAGACAACATCTAGGCAAACCACAAGTACATATACTTATTTACCTAACATTTCCACCGACAAAAATTATTCTATATACTCACAAAATACTAAGGTAGGTCAGGATCAGTGACTCACATTCCTAGACATTCAGGATCTCACTTCAAAGCCTGTCTAAGCAGACAAAACTGAGAGACTCTTATCCTCAATTAAGCAAAAAGCTGGAGTGGAGGCCTGGCTCAAACAGTAGAGCCTCAGCCATGATGAAAAAAGCTGAGAGAAAGTTAGAGACTCTGAGTTCAAGCCCCAGTGCCAACAACAATAGAAACCCAGAGACCAATGGAACAGGCTAGAAGGCCCAGAATGAACCCACACACCTAGCACCTAGCCTCCTTTGAAAAAGAAGCCAAAAATGTATGTTGGAAAAAGGATGGTATCCTCCATAAATAGTATAGGAAAAACGGATATCCATACACAAAAGACTAAAACTTAATCTTTGTCTCATACTTTGTGGTAATACCAATTCAAACTGGATCGAAGACCTCCCTGCAGGGGCTGGGAATGTGGCTTAGTGGTAGAGTGCTTTTGCCCAGCAAACATGAAGCCCTGGGTTCGATTCCTCAGTATCACATAAACAGAAAAGGCTGGAAGTGATGCTGTGTTAGAATGCTTGCCTCGAGCAGAGAGGCTCAAGGACAGTACCCTGGCCCCGAGTTCAAGCCCCAGGACTAGAAAAAAAAAAAGACCTCACTTTAAGAGCTGAAACCTTGAAACCACTATAAAAACAAAGGGAAACTCCTAACTGGAACTTCCTGAATAATATTCCATATCCTCATGGGATATAGGGCTGGGAAGGTGGCTCAGTGATAAGAGTGCTTGCCTTGCATGCATGAGGCCCTGGGCTCAATTCCTCAGCACCACATAAACAGAAAAAGCTGGAAGTGGCACTGTGGCTCAAGTGGTAGAGCACTAGCCTTGAGCTGAAGAGCTGAGGGACGGTGCCCATGCCCAGAGTTCAGATCACACAACCAACAAAAAAAAAAAGGAAAGGAAAGGAAAGAAAAGATAGGAAAAATTCCATGGGCTCAGCAAACGAAAGAATTGACAAATGAAACTGCATTAAACTTAAAAGCTTCTGCACAGCAAAGGATTATAATTTCTAAGCTAAGGACAGCCTACAGAATGGAAAAAGATCTTTGCTAGCTATATATCTGCAAAGGGTCTAATAACTTGAATTTACTAGGAGCTCAAAAAAACTAAAACCTCCAAGAATCAAAAACCCAAAGGAGCAACTCAAAGGGCAAAGAAGCTAAACAGTTCTCAGAGGAAGAAGTTCATATACTCAATAAATGCATGAAGAAATGATGAATATATCTCTGGTGTTATTTGCAGGAAAAGATGGATCTGGAAAAGATACTAAGCAAAGTAAACCAGGCCCAGAAAGACAAAGGGTGTATATTTTCTCTCATGTGTAGATCTTAGGCTCATAATACCACCTCTCATAGAAGCATACGCAGAGGCATATGTTTATATATACAATTTAACTGACTCTGGTATATACAAGGGTAAAACTTCAAGCAGTAAACATTTAAACAATTAGTAAGACTGTTTAACAAAATGAGTATCAGGGAGTTGAAACAAGATCATAAAGGAAAGGGGCTGATGGGAGTACCGATGGATGAAAAAGGGAACAAGGGACAAATACAGCACGAATTCTCAATATACGTATGTGATAAATGAAGTTGAAAATGTGAAACATGTCTGGGGAGGAGGGAACAGACAGATCAAGAAGCACCCAACACTTAGATGGATATATGAAACTGTAACAACCTTGTACAACCTTTGTAAGTTCAGAAAATCTTAAACAAGTTTTTAAAAATACAAAGATTATGTGCAAAGGAATTTTCACTAAATATATTTTTAAAAATGAACTGAAGATATTCTGAATATCCACTCATCAAATTCCCAAAGAATCTCTGACAACATGCTGTGAACCCATTAAGCAGAGTAGTAGGGCTAGAGCAGTGGGTCAGAGAGGGCTACAAGATGCATGGAAAATGGGAAGAGAAACAGTACAACCTCATTTGGGTAACTCATTTTATCTTCTTTTTTTGTGCCTATGCTGGGTCTTAAACTCAGAGCCTTGGACTCTTTCACTCAAGGTTGAGGCTCTACCACCAGAGCCATGCCTCTACTTTTTGCTGGTTAATCAGAAACTGGAGTCTCTCAGATTTGTTTGGCTTCACACAGTGATCTGAATACCTGAACCTCCTGAGTGGCTAAGATTACAGAGTGAGCTATTAGCATATTTAGGTAACTCTTAAAGGCTATGTGTGCTAACATGCACATAATTTGGGAAATGAAACTATAATATAATGGTTGCAGATAGAGAATTATTTTTCATTTTATATCTTTCACAGTTTAAATTTCATGCCATATAAAAAAAACTGGAGAGTGATGGTGGAAAAACAAGGTTTAAAAAAAAGTGCCAATGCTTCCAAGAAGAAATCGCTCAAGAACTGCTTACTTTTCATTAAATCATTGAAAGCCCCCTCAAGACACCCCGGGGTTCTGTTTTCACCATCAACAACACACTTCAGGTATCACTAAACATTTCAGAGAGCTTAAAAATCACAAAAAGTGTACTGGCTAGTGAACACAAGGCCCACTAAGAAGGATATATATATGCCCTCGACTGAATTAACAAATTGGCATCCTAATGTATAATTCACTTTCCTGGGAATCTATCATAACAATCCCCAAGACCTAGGGAGGAGGGAGGAGTGGGAAGGCATGTGTCCTAAGACAGTTCATACACTATCCTCCATGTTCCCACCTCAAATGGCCCACAAATCTCTTTGACATTTAAGTGGACTTCATGCATTAGAAATCATAAAAAAAAAAAAAAAAATCTCCATGTGACTAAAGTAGCAGAAGGCAAACTACAAGACAGACTGAACTGGCACTGCATTCTCTGAGATCTCACTTTAAAGAACCAAATGAGTTAAATAACAACACAGCAAGGCCTAGTCCAATCTGGCCTGTCACTACTCTTTTATCGGCTCCCACTTTACTAACAATTTTAATGATGCTGAAGTGAGCAATCCCTAAGCACTTTGAGCTTTATTAGGACTCTCTACCTGAGAAGATGACAGTCCTTATTTTGAAAGAATCTTTTCAAAAGGGAAAGAACAATACATTAATTAGGCATCAAGTTCCTGGGCATAAATGTACTAAATATGCCTGTGCCTGTATGCTTCTTTTATCTATTTTAAGGAAGATTTACTGCCCTTAAACAGTTTCATTTACATAAACATTCAAAATACAAATCTGATCCTATTTTTAAATAAGTCCTACATAAGCAACCAAAATCTTAAGCCAAATACACCAATGAATTTAAAGATGATGAGAATTTTTCTAAGAGCCTTGCTGCAATAAGAACTGACAAGTTCTTCTAGACTGTGAGGAATCATTAAGAACTGACAAATCTGCTTCCAGACTGAAGAATCAGGATAGGTGGTTAACACAGCAGCAACCTAGGACTAGCAGGTCCACTACTCTCAGTAAAAGATGCTGGTTTTCTGTCTCTTGACACAATGCAGTACAGCATCAGTGTCCAAGATGTTAATCTCATACACATGTGCAAAAAGAAGGTAGAATATTCACTGTCTCCATACAATAAACAAAAGAACAAAAACACATCACAAAGCACAAAGTTTACTTCCCATAAAAGCAAAGTACAAATCTGCATTGATATTCTGAAAGTATACACAAGAAATATTTGAAATAAAACTCTTGTTTTAGCTGTGCACTGGTGGCTCATTCCCATAATCTTAGCTGTTCAAGAGGCTGAGATCTAAGGATCAAAGCCAGCCAAGGCTGGAAAAAATCTGAGACTCTTATCTCCATTAAACTACTCAGAAAAAGCTGGGAGTGGCACTATGGCTTTAGTGGTAGAAAACTAGCCTTGAGCACAAAGAGGCTCAGGGACAGCACCACACTGAGTTCAACTCAGCAAAAAACAAACGAAACAAAAACCAACTCTTGTCTTCCTTTCAATGAGACTTTTCTACATTTACACATCTTTCTAAGAGATACATACACAGCTACTAGTTCACATTCACATTAACCCAGACATTTGTAAGTGAAAATTCTGAAGGTTTAAGATGACTTCAGTCCTTTAGCCCAAGGAAATATCTATCAGACAGTACCATTCACTCAATATGGAACAGTAGCCATATTAGAAAGTTGATTAGATGTCTGAAGCAGCCAGTTTTCATGGATGAAAGCCAGAACAACACTCATAGCTCATAGCAAAAGCTACCCTCCAATGTGAACATGGTTTATCCATAATTAAAACACCTTTCTTAAGCCAATTGAAGTACACACCTATAATCACAAGAGACTGCAGTAGGAAGATTATGGAGTTTGAGGCCAGCCTGGCTACAGAACATGATCCTTTCTCAAAAAGAAAAGAAAAGAAAACAAGGAAAACCTAATACCATTCTTTCATCATGTTGTCACCATTTCTAAATTTAATAAAGGTTAGGAGATGGACAAATGATTTATTCTGGTTGGATGGCTACATAAAATGCCACAAAATGTACCAAAAATAACCAGGTAATGATACTGCCTGCTGAGTCTTACCAATAATTCAGTTTTATAATTTTTTTTTTTTTGCAAACACTCCAAAATGTCAGCAGGCAATATAAGTTAAAGAAAATGTAGAAGGAAAGTGACCCAACATTTCTTCACTTACTTGAAAACAGGTATAGTCTCTCATAATTTCACTGTCAAATACAGTATTCTATCCCAATGAACAGTGTTTTACAGAAACCAAATGACTCAAAAATGTTTCTTTAATCTAAACCACATTTTATTTTTAATTACTTAAATTTTGTTTTCAATTCTTCCTTTCTTGGAAAGCTTGCTGAAGCATGAGTAGTGCTAGCCCAGAAAAACCTGCCAGCTCCAAATGGATTCTATCAACTCCAATCTAGCATCCCAGAGTAAGAAGACTCCAAGCTGTCACAGCAAGGAACATAAATGCAAATTAATAGCAATCTTAAAAAATCAACCAGAAAGAATAAAATCTGAATACCTGGTTGTGCCCAAGGCTGCTGGGAAAGGGTATACTTGGGGCCTCCTTGACTGGCCATTGTTTTTAATGCTGAAACCTTGTAGAAGAAATAAAAAGAAAAGCTTCATTCACCAGTGACAAGTGAAATGTTAAGGATACATAATACAGATTCAACCTATTAAAACATACTAATAATCAAGTGTACAAAAATGCAACATGTCTTACAATCTTTTACGGCTAGTAAAAAATTTTAGCAAGACTTCTCCTGTGATTCGACATACATATTATCCTGTTAATAAACATGCTAAAGTCCTACAAAGGCATTCTGCCAGAAGCATTTCAGGCTAGGAAAGTCTTTTTTTTTTTTTTTTTTTTTTTTGGGGGGGGGGGGGGAGGGGTCCAGTCATGGGGCCTGAACTCTGGGTCTGGGAGCTGTCCCTCAGCTCTTCAGCTCAAGGCTAGCACTCTACCACTTGAGCCACAGCGCCACTTCCAGCTTTTTTTTCTGCTTATGTTGTGCTGAGGATTTGAACCCAGGGCCTCAAGCATGCAAGGCAAGAGCTCTACCACTGAGCCACCTTCCCAGACCCAGGAAAATCTTTCTTAAGTACACTGTTACATTAATATAACAAACTATTACTATACTTTATTAGAAATATGTCACCCAGAGCTGGACAAAAACTCCAGTACATACTCCAAGATTTTTTTTTAAAATGTAACACAGGCAGGAAAAATGTCATTAAAACAAAGAGCATAGGGTAGTGACGCACACCTACAATCCCTGCATTTGAGAGGCTGAGTAGGATTGACAGTTGAAGGCCAGCCTGGGCTACAGAGAAAGCCCTGTCTCAAAAAGCAAAACACATACATACATATATACACATGCACATTATTTTCAAATACTATCAAAAGCACTCTTGACCAATGACAAATGTCTTGACTAGACACAGCCCTTGAAGATCATCTTCTTCTCATCTATTTTCACTCCATAGCAGGAACAGAAAGAACAAATACAAGAGTCCCTGCTTCTGAGACAGTACGACTAGGGAGTTGGTAGGAGGTGGCTGGGTAAAGTGAGAGAAGAAAACTGCATAAAATATTTTTCTTGAATAGATAGACATTGACTGGAACTTACCATGTAGTATCATTAGAAAAACCTAAGCATCAATTCTTCAGCTTTCTATGAAAAGGATCAAGTATGTATTTAGACAGGTATAATGTTGATTCAGGTCTCTCCAGCCTTCCTCATGTCTGCTTTGTTTCTCCTTTCTAATTCTACTCCTGCACCACTCTTGGACTTGCCTGTGCTACCCATGTGAATTCACGTAATTGGCTCTTGCCTCCTCTCATTCAGTTCCTCTCCATATCTTTGTCACTGTGAGAGACAGCTTTTGAAAGCAAATTACAGATGACTATAAGTCAGTTAGGTGACAGAGAAAAACATACTCACACTTCAGAATGTATCATCCCAAATTGTTTCTAGTATAAAAATACATGTATTCATTTTTAAAAATGGGATCATGGTATTCTGTAAACTTTTTTCCCATTTAAATTTATATTCTGGACATTTTTCTGACAGTTTTAATACCAGTGGCTATCTACTATTCCACTTATTTCAGAATTTAAATCCATTTTATAAAGACATACTTTAGGCTGTTTGTTTTTTATATAGATCTGTATGGTTGTCTCTTTTACTATTTAGATAATTTACTTATCTCTAAGTCAAACCTCAAGGAGTATTTTCCTCAAAAATTTCCTAGCTCTTTAGAGATAATCTCTTCTGAGAATAAAACCAAGAGGAAGAGGAAGAAACGACTGTTCTCAAGGGAAAGCTTTCCTCAATTAGCCTCACCGTTTGTACTCTTTTCCTTTTTTAATTAGCATACATTAGTTGTACAACAGAGACCTTGCTATGACATATCCAGAGATGTAAACAATGTATCCTGATCATCTTATCTCCCTATCACTGTCTCTTATCCCACTTCTCCTCTAAAACAGTTTTCAATGAATTTCATTTTCATTTCATACATGCAGATAAACTACTTGGAAAATGTTTATTCTCATTCATACTCATTAGCGCTTCCTCCTCACGATGGTGCTCTTTCATCAGAACATTTTACTTTTCTATTACTGTTTCCATTTTATGCGTATTAGACACATAATACATGCACATCTGAAATACCACAGTGAAACCCCAAGAGGTTCAGAATCTCCTTCTCTATTGATTTCTCTTCCCTGCTCCACATAATACACTATTGATCTCCAGCTTTCACTGGGGCTCCTTATGCCATCTTCATAAATAGTTGCACTGTATTTAGAAATTATTCACCCTCAATCTTCCTTTTTCCCTCATCCCTTCTTAACTTCATGTATATATGTATATATATATATATATATATATAATGTCATGCCATATGTATACACATATATTTGTACATACATATATACATGTCTGTTTATATATACATAATGTACAAATACATATATATCCATATCATACACAAATACATATATGAGCAAAAATATGTGAGACTTTTTTTTTTGTTGGTCATGCAACCTGAACTCTGGGCCTGGGCGCTGTCCCTGAGCTCTTCAGCTCAAGGATAATACTCTACCACTTTGAGTCACAGCGCCACTTCCAGTTTTCTGGTGCTTAATTAGAGATAAGAGTCTCACAAGGGCTAGGAAGGTGGCTCAGTGGTAGAGCGCTTGCCTTGCATGCCTGAGGCCCTGGGTTCGATTCCTCAGCACCACATAAGCAAAAAGAAAAAAGCCGGAAGTGGCGCTGTGGCTCAAGTGGTAGAGCGGTAGCCTTGAGCTGAAGAGCTGAGGGCCAGCACCCAGGTCCAGAGTTCAGGCCCCACGACCGGACCCAAAAAAAAAAAAAAAAAGAGTCTCACGAACATTCCTGCCCCAGCTGGCTTTGAACCACAATCCTCAGCTCTCAGCCTCCTAAGTAGCTAGGATTATAGGCATAAACCACTGGCATCTAACTGGTGTTCTACAATTCTATCCAATCCTGCAAATAATATTCCATCTTTCTTTATGGCTGTGTATAGTCGATGGTATACGTGCACCATATCCTCTTTATCCATTCACCTATTGTCAGGCACCACAGGTGATTCCATTTGGCTACTTTGAACAGTGATATATGAAGGTATTCTTATATACTGACTTATATTCCTTCGGTTATATGCTCAATCATGGAATGAGATTATAAAGTAAATCTACCTTTAGTTTTTGAGAAAGGTCCATGCTGATTTCCACAGTGGTTGCACAAGTTTATATTTCTACCAATAGTCTATCAGAATTCCTTTTTCCCTTATAACCCCTCCGACATTTGTTTGTTTTCTTGATGGTGGCCTTTCTGATTAGAGTGTGATAGAATCTAATAGTGATTTTGATTTTCACTCTTTTATGACTAAGGATTTATTAAACATTTCTTCATGCATTTATTAGTCATTTGTATTTCTTCTTCTGAGAACTGTGTTCAGTTTTGCTTGTCCATGTATTAACTAGATTAACCTTATCCTTTTTTTTTTTAAGACTAGGGAATGAGCAAAACTAACTCCTTGGGAGCAAGAACTAAGTTTATAGGTCAAATTCTTTTATGAGAAACATTTAAATATATAGTTTTTGAGGAAACTAGAAACACTTCAGAGGGAATACTAAGAATAAACTTACAAAATCTTATCAAAGTGCTAGAAAGAAAATGACTCTGTGTGTGTGTGTGTGTGTGTGTGTCTTCTGAGTTTTTGACAAACTAGTCCCCATCAGAAAGAAATGCTTTTAGCTTAGCTATAAAGAAATGTGGGTACTTTAGCACAAAATCACATTTCTGCAGCAGTTTATAGTAACAGAGTACTCATACATATGATGTTATGTAGTCCCACTAAGGCAGGGAGGATAGATGCTGCTGCTATCCCCTGCAGGATTAGAAAACAGAGGTTGGGAAAAAATGACTTGCCTTCAATTTCAGCTAGCTAGTAGAAGGCAGTCCAGGCCCAAATTCTCTGCTCTTTCTCTTAAGCTTACTACTATTTTTGAATGATGGTCCTACTTAAGACTACACCTGAGCTACACAGGAAAAAAAAAATTCCATGAACTGCTGTCTAGGGATCCCTTCTATATATGTACTGCACATCCCTGGAGAACCATTATATAATTCCAAATTAGAAGATTTTCTACAGAAATCTGTTTCCTTTTAGTGTTCTTAGTGACTAGGGACATTTAAAACGTATAACCAGAGTTATGCCAGACTTACCAAACGCACACTAAGATCAATTTGGACAACTCTATTAGTGAATTGTGATTCACTTTATTTTTAGAAAAATTCTGCTGTTCTAGAATAACCCTTCAATCGTAGATTTCCTTACAATCAAATTGGTGACTTCACAAGATTCATTCTGCTCTGACATTATACAATATTCACCTACAATACTTCCCACCAGTATTAGGTGAATGTTCTCCCCCAAATCATATTACTATCTACAAACTACTTTTCTATGAGGATAATTTTAGTAAAAATGGTCATTTATCTGTTTATTATAAACAGTACTTACACTCTTTTTTAAAAAGTCAAAACCTAGGGTTCAAAGCCAGCCAAGCAGGAAAATCTATGATACTCTAACCTCCAATAAACTACTCAAACCCACAGAAGTGGTACTGTGGCTAACGTAGCACTAGCCTTGAATGAAAAGGGTCAGAGACAGCACCCAGTCCCTGAGTTCAAGATTCATAACTTTCCGACACTGACTTTAAATTGCAATGCTCAGATCTCAGCCTAAGTAGCTAGGATTACAGATGTGAGGTACTGGTGGCTAGCTTGTTTTTCTTATTTGTAACTGGCATCTTCCGTCTATACCACAGGCTGCAGGCACACTAGCTGATAACCAGCATCAAGCTCTTAATGAACAACCTGTACAGTTGTGTCTTTGTTGTTCCAGACACATCCTGTCTAATCAGTTAACCAGTTAAGATGTATCCAATTTGAGAGAAAATGCTACCATAACTTTATTTTTTTATATGATAACCTCTAATATTAGTCTGATGTAAACAAAAGAGACTTAATGAAAGTTAACTTGAAGACTTTAAAACATCTTTAAAGCCTGAGTAATGGCATTTATTTTATTTTTTAAATGATTAGATCAGGCCAGGCAGCAGTGGCTCACACCTGCAAATCCTACTCAGGAGAGTGAGATCTAAGGGTCACGGTTCCAGCCCAGGCAGGAAAGTCCATGAGACTCTTATCCAATTAACCACCAGAAAATCAGAAGTGGCGCTGTGGCTCAAGTGGTAGAGCACTAGCCTTGAGCTGAAGAGCTCGGGGACACCCAGGCCCAGACTTCAAGCCCCACAACCAACAAAAAAAAAAAAAAATTAGATTGAATTACAACACAATAAAATTTTAAAAAATAATAATTGGAATGAAGCAAGAATGTCAAAATAGCCATGATCTATCTTTCTCTTTGCTTGCATTTGCCAGTCGATATATTTTTGCTCAAGCGATGTAAGTCTAGCTATAGTATCTCCTTATATTTAATGTGTATATTTAGCAGTTAACATGTCAATAGAAAACCTTCAATTCTCAATTATCCAGAAAAATGAAATTAGCATTTAGAGTAAGAAAAATCTCCCATTTAAGTAGTAGCAAATTCTGACATACAGACTGTGGTTGCTGCCACACAGGCCCAATAGTAGGGGAGGTTACCAGACAGCGCTGAGTCCCTGCCCACATGCAGATAACTCATAATGTAGATAACACAAAAATACCTCTATATTATTTGTACTCTTCCCCCTCACAACTAAAAACTCTACAGCATACCTAAGAGTCAACAAATCAAAAACTTCCAATGCAGGAAACAGTGATTTCCTAAACAGAGTCACTAAAGCATGGGCTTACTGTCTGGTTATGCCAGTGAGTTTTCACCAGGGAGCAAGTCAAAAGGAAAGCTAGGGAAGAATGTAAATGCCTTCACAAGGAGATAACTCCATCTGTACCTTTGTCATGAACTCCTCGAGGTGCTCAACAAATAGCTTGGTCTGCTGCTGAATAAACTGTTCACAGGCAGATTTCAGGTGCCGGTCTACATCTTTCTTAGAGTCAAGATAATGTTCTCTTATCTCAGGAGTACCCTGAAAAACAAAAGATGACAATTTCCTCCTGTTTTGTTTTTTTTTTTTACATGCCAAGAAATTGTGGACATGTAAAGAATGTGGCTTAGTACCCACCACCAATGAAACAGACTCCTTCTCACCTCCAACAAGAACTCTATCAAGGCATTGTTGCTATTCAGCCTAAAAAATCTCGGAACAGTCATAGGATTCAGGATTTTAAATGCTGCATCTGTGAAACAAAATTACTCATCCAGTGAACATGTACAGTTTCAACAGAGAAGCCCTGTGTAACATGCGCAAGCTCTCTACTGTTGTAAAACAGAAGGCATTCATCTTCACCAAGTCACCTCCAGGACCGGCCAAGGGTGAGATGCGCTCTAGTGATGCTATAGTCCTCACACAGTTATTTTCCAGAAGTTAGAATTACAAAATGCTATTCATCTCAATTATCCCTTCATAGAATAAGAAAAATGATACACTATAAAATTTCACTGCTTTACTTTTAGATAATACTCAGATAATATTTTTAAATATCTAAAATAGTTTTGCTTATGTTATCCACATACTTACCCAGCTTCTTTGTTAAGGTCTTGGCTGACAAAGAAATTTATCCACTTGAAGCAGAGTGAATAAACTAATGTGCCAGCCAAGAAGAAAACACCAAGAGGACATATTTACCCTTCAACCTCCAGACTAACTAGAATCTATGCAAAGTATTAACTGAGGTCTCATTGATGTTCAAATGCAATAAGATATAATGTTAGTCAAGAGGTTAGAAGATTAAACATGAAGATAGCAAGTATTAAGTGATAGCTTAAAACAGACTGTTGCTTTGCTTAGCTTTGCCAAACTAAAGAAAACAAAGCATTAAATATTTCTAATACCTATTTTGTATTTCTTTTAATCTTTAAGTAGTTGTACAAAGAACTGCCAAGCCACGCCACAGTAATACTTAGTGCCTTGATCTTGGGCTTAATGAAATGAAAAAGACCCTCTATCAAATTCAGTACTTAGAGTAAACCTTAACACATGGCTCTTTGTTGTGTTTTCTGCAAGATACCTGAAAGATGTCTTTTTCAATAAATAGAATCCTATCACTATATGGTGAGTTTAAAAAACTTCATAATATTTAGGGGGGAAAAAAACCTCTGCCACAATCTTAAGACTATCTCATTGTCTCACACCTCAGTAAATCTACATTAAGAACCAAGTGGCAACAATAAGTTACAAATTAGAAAAAAAAAAAAGCCTGGCACCTGTGGCTCACACCTGTAATCATATCAACGCAAGAGACTGAGATCTGAGAATCAAAGTTCAAAGCCAGCTCAGGCAGGAAGGTCTATAAGACTCTTACCTCCAATTAACTACCAGTAAATCAGAAGTGGCACTGTGGCTCTAAGTAGTAGAACACTAGCTTTGAGCAAAAGAGCTCAGGGACAATGCCCAGGCCCTGAGTTCAAGCCCCAGGATGAACAAAAAAACAAAAAGTAAAAATAAAAAATTTAAAAAGATGGAAGTGAAGTGTGGCTCAACTGGTAGAATATCAACCTCAAGCAAAAAAGCCAACTGAGAGCACGAGGCCCTAAGTTCAAGCTCCAGTATTGGCACCAAAAAACAAACATACAAAACACTAAAGGTTACTTTCCAGAACTGAACATCATAACTCAACTGCCAGAGTGCCAGCCTTGAACAACAACAACAACCAAAACAGCAACAACTAAGCAAGAGCTTGAGGCCCTGAGTTCAAGCCCCAAAACCTACACCTACACACACATACATACACATACACACACACACACACACACACACACACACACACAAAGATCTGAGGATCACAGTTCAAAGGCAGACAAATCAAAAGACTCTTATCTCCAATTAATCAGCAAAAAGCCAGCTGTGGAGGTATGCCTCAAGTGACAGAGCATCAGCCTTAAAAGAAAAAGCCAAGCAAAAGCAGAAGACTCTGGATACACACACACACACACACACACACACACACACACACACACACACACACACACACACACACACACACACACACACACACACACACACACACACGTATGCCTCAAGTGACAGAGCATCAGCCTTAAAAGAAAAAGCCAAGCAAAAGCAGAAGACTCTGGATTCACACACACACACACACACACACACACACACACACGAAAAAAGACAAGACAAGAAAAGAAAAGAAAGATGAAAGTCCACCCTGATAGATCCCATTAGAAATTTCCCACCATTCCCAGACCTCACACTGAAAAGAAAAAAGGAAGGAAATCAATCTGAAGAGGTGAGAGATGGAAGTGTCAGATACAAATAAGCTTTAAAAAAAAAAATTATGCATTCCTTAAAGGCAAAAGAAACCTGACTTCTGCTAGGAAAAAAATGGCAAAGAATATGACTAAGACACATGGGCTTATCCTGTGTGGTAGATAGGAAGAACAGGGGGGAAACAGCAAGCTGTTTTAATATGACATATCAGAAAGTCACAATAAAGCTCACTGAATTAAGTATACTCTCAAAATATTTGTTTTTAAAAATTCCACTCATAATAAACACAGTAATTAGGGAACTAAATTCCTGCTATCTTTGGAAATTATATATTTGAGTTGCTCTGAAACACAGCCCACAGAAAATAATTTGGGTCTCAATTGCTCTAGTACATAAGACAGAAGTTAATTTATCACATAAATGAACTGGCTTAGGGCAAAAGAGCTTCAATCTCTTGGAAATAATTAACATTTACAGAAATGTGTAAGGAATGAAAGGAAATGAGTGATGTTCATAGTATATCCTTAATTGTTTAAGATCAGTATCTCAGAAAGTAACTACTTTGATCTCCTAAAAAATCATCACTTAGCCAGGCACCAGTGGCTCACACCTATAATCCTAGATACTCAGGAGGCTGAAATCTGAGGATCGAAGTTCAAAGCCAGCCCCAGCAGGGAAGTTCGTGAGACTCTTATCTCCAAAAACCGCTAGAAAACCAGAAGTGGTGCTGTGGCTCAAGCGGTAGCGCGCTCGCCTTGAGCTGAAGAGTGCAGGGACAGCGCCCAAGCCCAGAGTTCAAGCCCCACGACCGACAAAAAAAAAAAAAAAAAAAACTTCACTTGTTTATTCAGAGACAAATCATTAGAATGGATAAATCATCTTCCCCATGGTAAGTTAATACATATTTCCATTTCGAAAACCCTCTTTACATGACAACTTAACTAATCTAATGATAGTTCCTTAAGTTTAATTCCCTAAAACTTAAGGAAACCAATTTAAGCATATTAACATATAGTATATATTACCATTCTTTATCATTTTAATTAATTATCACTAAAGGTGTCATAACACCTTCATAGTATTCCTTTTATCTAGGAGAGGAAGGTAGACATTTTAGCATTCGGAATGCTAAAATATACATATAATATTATATAAGAGCCAGCATTTTTCCTGTTTTAACTAGCTTCAGGAACTTTCATAAGCAAGTTAATAAACTCAAAACCATTCCAATTAGCTGATACATATTACTTATTTAGTAAGTAACTATTAGACTAATTTTTCATTTTTTAACTGGTTATAATAAAATAATACCTAAGGGAGGTAATCCTGTCTCACAAATTAAAATGCTCAAATATAGTTCCCCTCAAGAACATAAAGCTAGTTAGAAATAATTAGGATACTGACAGCTCAGTTTAGTATGGACAAATAACACACTTAGCAAGCAAAGCATGCAAAAAAAATTGCAGATGAACATAAAATAAACCTATAACCTGTGCTGACACATATGGATAGGTCAAATACCCAACTGTGTCAGCCAGAACAAGTACCTCTAGTTTTCTTGAGGTCCAGGGAAATTTCCTTAATGGTGAATTCAGTGTGAAATGGAGCAATTTGTTCACGAAGAATCAAAAGATGCTTAATTAAGAAAAGTTGCCCATCAATCTGAGTCTAAATTATAAGACAGAAAAATAGAAATCATAGGATTAAATCAAACAGGAGCATATAAAACATGTTATTATTCAACAATAATCCTTTGTCATACCATGAATACTAATTAAAACATTCATCTATAACTTTATTTTCCATCCTCATCTAGTCCCTAAATCACAATTTCATTCAATTCTCCATTCCACAAACAGGCAAACAGAATGGTCACACACAAAGGGAAAGCTTTTCTAGCAACAAAATGCCAAATTCTTCTGATGTCTTTTTTTTTTTTGGTCAGATATGGGGCCTGAACTCAGGGCCTGGGCACTGTCCCTCAGCTCTTCAGCTCAAGGCTAGTGCTCTACCACTTAAGCCACAGTGCCAGTTTCGGCTTTTTCTGCTTATGTGGTGCTGGGGAATCAAACCCAAGGCCTCATGTATGCAAGGCAAGCACTCTACCACTAAGCCACCTTCCCAGCCCAAGACTTTTTTTTTTTAATTTGTCTAAGTCTTAAAGCTAGAACTCAAGTTTGAAAATATGGAAGTTACAAGGTTTGAACACTCCAAGCAACAATGAAATTGTGTCTGTAAACAAGCCCCACAGTGAAGAGGTAAACAGAACAACACCTCTGACCATGTTCTACTTTCTGACAAGGCCATGAAAGCAGCACATACCAGTAGCTTCCCATTTCTGGGCCCATCCTGACTAAAAACCTTGAGCTGTGCAGTCATGGGAACTACTTGCAGTCATAGAACTTAAGTTGTCATAGAACTTAAGCAGTCATAGAACTTACAGTTGCCTGTCCTCAGAAGTGACAGGTTGATTTCCTCCAGATAAGGCCATTTAACTATTTAAAACAATATTAAAGGGATGATTAAATTGTTGTTTCCTTAAAAATACTTCCCTTGATAGTACAAGGAAACCAAAATACCATCTCCCCAATTGCTAAGGTAGTAGCAAGAATCCTTCATCCTACAGAATTTATTTGATGTAAGTATTGTTTTTGATACTTTAGCAAAATTTCAACTTTTGGTAGTTTATTGAGCACTAAAATGAAATGTTAGCTTCTCTCAAAGGACCTCAAAATTAAATCGTGTTAAAGAAATCTAACTGCCGAACTGGCTTTAAATTTCCATGCCTATAAAGAATATATTGTACAGTATTATTATAGGTATTAAAATTTCACCTAACACTTCATCAAACCTTGTTTTTGCTGATAGAATCGGATGCTCCCAGTAAGGACTGAATGCAGGCAGACAATGCTTCCTGTGATAATCCTTGAAACACAGCCCTCTGGTGGAATAAAAAAGAAACATTAGCACGTGGCACATCACAAAACAGTTAAAAGAAAATCCCTGGCCCTGTTACTTGCTTGCATCATTGGCTTGGTCTCTTACTGGTCTCATTTTTCCTGGAGTTTTCTATTCCTATGTAATCATTCTAGACTAACACATGGTTTTATAATGGGCCCACATGTCTACAAATAGCCACATACCTCTTCAATAAATATGTACTAGCACTTACTCCATGCCACACACTGAGCTAGATGCTGAGTAGTACAGAAGTTAACAGGCAATCAGGGTTCTGACCCCAGCATAATCTCCTTTATGGGAATATGTTTTAAATCTTTAAAACTAGCAATCTTAATACTGTTGATCAAAACTTTATCCCAAGCTGCCCAGGCTCTGGTGGCTCACACCTGTAATCCTACCTTCTTAGGAGGCTGAAATCTGAGGACAGTGGTTCAAAGCCAGCCTGAGCAGGAAAGTGTTTTTTTTTTTTTGGGTCCAGTTGTGGGGCCTGAACTCTGGGCCTGGGCGCTGTCCCTCAGCTCTTCAGCTCAAGGTTAGCACTCTACCACTTGAGCCACAGCACCACTTCCGGCTTTTTTCTTTTTGCTCATGTGGTGCTAAGGAATCGAACCCAGGGCCTCAGGCATGCAAGGCAAGCGCTCTACCACTGAGCCACCTTCCCAGCCCCAGCTGGTAATATTCTTATCTCCAATTAACCACCAGAAAACTGGAGTGGTACTGTGGCAAAGTGGTAGAGCCTAAAGCAAAAGAGCTCAGCACCTAGGCCCCAAGATCAAGCCCTATGACGGACAAAAACACAAACTTTGTCCCAAGTAATTAACCAGTAGTGTTTTAATATTCAAGCACAAGCTAGGTACTGGTGGCTCATGCCTATAATCCTAGCTACTCAGGAGGCTGAGATCTGAGGATCACCATTCAAAGCCAGCCCAAGCAGGAAAGTCCATGAGACTCTTATCTCCAATAAACCACCAGAAAACTAGAAGTGGCACTGTGGCTCAAGGGGTACAGCACTTGCCTTGAGCTGAAGAGCTGAGGGACAGTACCCAGGCCCAGAGTTCAAGCCCCAGACAAAAAAAAAAAATTCAAGGACACAGCTCTTTAGTATAGTATCAAAGAAAGGGGGGGGGGGGGGGTGGTTGAAAGGGAGGGAAGGAAGGAGGAAAGTAGGAAAGAGAAAGAGCACAATTGTTCAATGAGGGGAGGTTAGCTAATAACAGCAAAACAGATGATGCAATATTGTATGTAAACACAAAGAATTCTAAGGGAGGTGGTAAAATTTTTATATAATCAAGTGGAAAAAGAAAACTAGGCTTTACAAATATGTGAGGTAGGAATCTCAAGTCAGTTTTATCATTTATCTGTCTTCCCAAAAGCGTGGTATTTTGGGCAGGCCATGATTCTAATGAGTCCCCTTGCTTTTGTATCAGTATTCTATGAGATGGAACTGACAGGGATGCAGATATACAAGACATTTATTATTTGGTATAGTCCTGGTCTCTACTGGATGTTACTCTCTTTTTGTACTGCTTCTCCCTCTAGAGGCCAATGTAGGGAAGAGGGATTAAGACTGCTACTGGTTTACTACTCTGCCATAATCTGTCCGAGTTTGCCTTCCTCACTTTTGATCAGTAAGTAAACCACTTTGGTTTATAAACAAACCATCCCTAGAAAATCTGTAGACAGATGAACTGTTGCAGAGAATGCCAACTATAATTAGACTGGAGTACTTAAAAAAAAAAAATTCTGTTCCCTGAAATCAATATACAGTTTAAGATGGTGCTTTAAAAAAAGTAACTTTGGGGGGAGGGGGGTGGAAGGGGAGGAGATGGGAAGGGATGAGAAGGGGAAACAAAGGAGGAGGCAACAATGCTTGGTAAGAAATGTACTCATTACCTTGCCCATGTAATTGTAACCCCTCTGTATGGTATTTTCACAATAAAAAACTAAAAAATAATAACTTTCAGCCAGGCATCAATGGCTCACACCTGTAATCCTAGCTACTCGGGAGACTGAGATCTGAGGATCATGGTTCAAAGCCAGCCTGGGCGGGAAAGTCTGTGGGACTCTAGAAAACGGGAAGTGGCACTGTGGCTCAAGCAGTAGAGCACTTGCCTTGAGCTGAAGAGCTTAGGGACAGTGCCTAGGCTCAGAGTTCAAGCCCCACGACTGACAAAAAAAAAAGTAACTTCAGCAAGTTACTTACTCCATGTCTAGAAAAGAATCTTTTTATGTATATTTTTTATTGTAAAAATACTGTACAGAGGGTTACAGTTACATGAGTAGGGTACTGAGTACATTTCCTATGGAGCATTGTTTCCTCCTCCTTTGTTCTCCCCCTACCATCCCTTCCCTTCTCACCTCCCCAACACCTCCTTCCCCCTGCCCCCCAAAATTGTAAAGTTCATTTTCAACATAGTGTCTTGTACATCTCATTGTTACAATGGGTCAACCTGTATTCTTTTTTTTTTTTTTTTTTTTTTGGTCGGTCCTGGGGCTTGAACTCTGGGCCTGGGCGCTGTACCTCAGCTCTTCAGCTCAAGGCAAGCGCTCTACCACTTGAGCTACAGCGCCACTTCCGGTTTTCTGGTGGTTTACTGGAGATAGGAGTCTCACGGTCTCTCCTGCCCGGGCTGGCTTTGAACCGCGATCCTCAGATCTCAGCCTCCTGAGTAGCTAGGATTACAGGCGTGAGCCACCAGCGCCCAGCTCAACCTGTATTCTTATTTAAGCATTATATCCCTTCCCCTCCCAAAAGTATAAAAACGTACATACAAGATGCAGGACACCGGAATCAAATACAGTAAAAACAAAAGAAACAAAAGAGGAGCTGGGAATATGGCTCAGTGGTAGAATGCTTGCCTCACATGCATAAGGCCCTGGGTTCGATTCTTCAGCATCACATAAACGGAAAAAAACAGAAGTAGTGCTGTGGTTCAAGTGGTAGAGCGCTAGCCTTGAGCTGAAGAGCTGAGGGGTAGCGCCCAGGCCCAGAGTTCAAGACCCAGGGCTGACCCAAAAAGAAAAGGAAGAAAGAAAGGAACAAAAGAATCACCACATAGTGCATTTTAAGTATATTAAAAACAGTATCAAGAAAGAAAAAAGCCACTTGTGTCCCTGTCTTGGGGTTCATTTCGTTTAGCATCATCTTATATGGTCATATGTACATAGCTTTTGACCTTTAGAAAAGAATATTAAGGGGGCTGGGAAGGTGGCTCAGTGGTAAAGTGCTTGCCTTGCATGCATGAGGCCCTGGGTTCGATTCCTCAGCACCACATAAACAAAAAAAGCCGGAAGTGGCGCTATGGCTCAAGTGGTAGAGCAAGGATGTTGATTCAGTGAGAGCAAAACTACATTAAAGAGGAATGGTGGCTAAAAAAAAAAAAAAAAAAGGTGGCACACTGCCTATAATTTCAGCATTCAGGAGGCTTGAAACTGAAGTATCACAACTTTGAGACCAGCCTGGACTACAGAGAGGACCTCATCACAAAATAAAATAAAACTACATCTACATTTCATACCAAATGAATACTACACCCATGTGACACTGACTACATCACTTAACCTTTCTGTATCTGCTTAACCTTTCTTATCTACAAACTAAAGCAGGCAAATGTATCACTATCCTTAAACCTATTTGTGGTCATGGACTCATTAAGAATTAATGGAGCCAGGCACCAGTGGCTCACACCTGTAATCCTAGCTACTCAGGAGGCTGAGATCTGAGGATCACAGTTGAAACCAGAAAAGTCTATGAGACTCTTATATCACCAATAAACTACCCACAAAAAGCCAGAAATGGCACTGTGGCTCAAGTAGGTAAGAGTGCTAGCCTTGAGCAGAGAGAGCCTCAGAACAGAGCCCAGGCCCTGAGTTCAAGCCCCAAGACCAGCAAAAAAAAAAAAAAAGATGGAAACTTGTAGCAATGGTACTCATTGAACACTCTGTTGAAAAAAAATTATACTATTTTGGGGGAGAGGAAGAAGAAGATAGGAGGGAAAAACTGGGAGAGAACAAGGAAACGGGTAACATATTGTCCAAAAAGAACTTATGCAGGGCTGGGAAGGTGGCTCAGTGGTAGAGCGCTTGCCTTGCATGCCTGAGGCCCTGGGTTCGATTCCTCAGCACTATATAAGCAAAAAGAAAAAAGCCAGAAGTGGCGCTGTGGCTCAAGTGGTAGAGCGCTAGCCTTGAGCTGAAGAGCTGAGGGACAGCGCCCAGGCCCAGAGTTCAGGCCCCACTATCGGACCAAAAAAAAAAAAGAACTTATGCAACTGTAACCCCGCTGAACATCACATTTATGATAATAAAAAAAAAATTTAAGAACTGAATGAAACTAATATTCTTCTCAAACTTCCTTCTATATGGACATGAGAATATAAACACAACCCATAATTCTAGGGTGTTCAGAAACTCTCCAAAGCCCATTAGTAGATTCTAGGGATCCATAGAATGCCCAGATAAGGAATTTCTAATAGATAAACCATGTTTTATCTAAAAACCATGATTCTAAGAATAGCAAACAAAATACTGAATCAAGATCTTAATAAATTAAAATTTTTAAATATTCCAGATGAAAAAGTAATTCACAGTAGAGGTAAAAGAATGTACACACTTACATCTATACATCTGTATAATTTGGAGAGACAGACAAGAGTTCTTCGAACTGTAGGATACCACATTCCATGCAGATCTGCGGGAGAAATCGTGGTCTGTGGTCTAGGATTGAGGGATTCTGTTGAAGCTAAAAGCCAAGAGGAAAAAAAGAAAATATACATTTCAGACATGTAGAAGTATGTCATAAAATAATTTATATAGTAACTATATTCTCTCTAGCTATCAATAGCTAAAAAGTATGTTTTCTCCATCCTCATCTTTAATCAAGAATATCCTAGGACTGGGAACATGGCTTAGTGGTAAAATGCTTGTCTAGTATACATGAAGCCATGGGTTTGATTCCTCAGTACTACATAAACAGAAAAGGCTGAAAGTGGTGCTGTGGCTCAAGTGGTAGAGTGCTAGCCTTGAGCAAAAGAAGCTTAGGGACAGTGTCCAGGCGCTGAGTTCAAGCCACAGGACTGGAAAATATATATATCCTAAGAAATTTAAACCAGTGGGAAGATTTAACAAAAAAAATAAAAACTCTTAAGATAATGTGTGTGTCTCACATATATACTTAATGCACTTGTTTTTTATGTAAAATGTGATTAATAATGTTTGTGGATTCAATAAACAGTCTGTTTATATTACAAAGTACAGCCAGATTCTAGGAGGCCGATCTATATTTAGTGAGGTAGAAGGAAGTGGGAGCCATAGACGTATGAGAATGACAAGGAGCCAAACCAAGGCCAGGAATAGTGATGAAAGGCTGTAATGACATCTATTTGGGAAGCAGAGAGCAACAGGACAGAGGTTCAAGGCCAGCCTGCCAAAAAGTTAACAAGAGTCTATCCCAACCAAAAGCAAGGCACTGGGTACACACCTTTGGTCTAGCTTCAAGGAGGCATAGGTAAGAGAATCACAGTCCACCCTGGACAAAAACACAAGACCTTATCCAAAAAATAAAGCAAAAAGGGCTGGATGTGGCTCAAATAGCTAGAAGCTGTGTGGCATGGACTGGTAGGGAGAGAATAAAGGAAATGCTGAATCTCAGCACTTTTACTTTATAGCTTGGATAGCTTTTTTCTTTCAAAGGGATGCAAAGCGTAGAATTTTTATTTCTTCCATAACAAGGCCTCACTTTAAGATCTACTTTGCATAAAGTTTCTTAAAGAAAAAGTACAGAAACAAACTGCCAGGTACAAGGGTACAAGCCTATAATCTTAGCTATCTGGGAGGCAGAGATCAGGGGAACTGCAGCTCAAGGCCAGCCAAGCATAAAAAGTCAAAAGACTCCATCTAAATCAATGACTAGCTACGTTGGCCTACAAGTAATTCTAGCTGCAGAAAAACACAATGGCTAGGCATAGTAACAATATTATCCCCGGCAAAACATAGAAGCATAAGTCAGGGCTAGTGGCTCACGTCTGTAATCCTAGCTACTCAGGAAGCTGAGAACTGAGGATCACTGTTCAAAGCCAGCATGACAAAAAAACAAACAAACAAGCAAAAAAAACCCACCAAAATCATAGAAGCATAAATAGGAACATTACAGTCCAAACCAGCCCTTGAATAAAACTCTAACTTGAAAATACCAAAGGGTAAAAGGGGATCCTTGGTACTCATTGCAAGCATGAGTACCAATCTCAAACCGTAGTACCACCAAGAAAGATTCATAAAAGTCCATTTCAATCATTAAAAACCTGAGTATGGAGATACAGATACAACACAGGACAAAAAAAAAAAAAAGCTAAAAAAGACTAGATTAAGCAGTAGAGTACCTGCCTTACAAGCACTAGGCCCTTCATTCAAAACTCTAATATCATCACCACAAAAATAGAGGGGAATATACTTAGAAGAATATACTTTGTTAAGGATTTTGCTATTTGCAGAATCTGTCCTTCAAAATAAAGAGCCTAGGCAGGCGCAGGTGGCTCACGCCTATAATCCTAGCTACTCAGGAGGCTGAGATGGGAGGATCGTGGTTCAAAGCCAGCTGTGGCAGGTAAGTCCATGAGACTCTTATCTCAAATTAACCACTAGAAAACCGTAAGGCACTGTGGCTCAAGTGGTAGAAAGCCTGCCTTGAGCTGAAGAGCTGAGGGACAGCGTCCAGGCCCAGAGTTCAAGCCCTACGACCGACAAAAAAAAAAAGTGAACAGTGAATAATGCAGGTGAAATGTTGACAGAGTTCAGGGCAGAACATAAAATCTGGAAGTTACTTCCTCAAGTGTTATCAAGGTAACAGATCTCCTACAACTTTTTTGGTGCTAGTCCTGGCCCCAAGGCCTGTGCACTGTCCCTGAGCTGCTTTTGCTCAAGGCTAGCACTCTATCACTTGAGCCACAGCTCAATTCCAGCTTTTGGGGAGATAAGAAGCCCAGGCTGGCTTCAAACCATAATTCTCAGATCTCAGCCTCCTCAGTAGCTAGGATAAGCAGGAGTCACTGGTAGCTGGCTTTTTTTTTTTTCTTGTGGCAATCCTGGGGTTGCAGGTTAAATTCAGGGCCTCATACTTGACAGGCAGGTACTCTACCACTAGCCACAACTCTAGTCTCTATTCTTTGTGTATGTGCTGGTTATTTTGTAACCTTCCTAGGTTCTAGTTGGAGAACAATCTGCCTATTTTAGGCTTCCTATAATAACTGAGATTACAGGTATACACCATTATGCGCAACTATGGCTTGAGAAGGAGTATCACAAAGTATCTAGTGTGGTATCAAAATTACTCCATGAAGCCAGGCATGGTGACTCATGCCTGTAATCCTAGCTACTCAGGAGGCTGAGATCTGAGTATCACGGTTCAAAGCCAGCAGGGCAAAAAAGGCCATGAGACACTTATCTCCACTAAACCACTCAGAAAACTGGAAGTGGCTTGGCTCAAGTGGTAGAGTGCTAGCCTTGAACTGAAGAGCTAAGGGACAGCGCCCAGACCCAGTGTTCAAGCCCCATGATGGACAAAAAAAAAAAAAAAATTACTCCATGAATGATTACTCCTGGGCAATCTTTCTCCTTGCGAAATCCAAACTATCCCACATACGTGTCTGTTAATCTTTTGCCTCGGTCCAGTCACTAATATGTTCATAAAATGCAAATCTGATGTTGTAATCAATCTGACACATTATAGTAGCTAGACCCAAAACTCACACCATCATACAACACATACCACAGCTGGCCTGCCCTACCTGTTCCTTCCCATCCCCACATACAACCTGGGCCCAAACACCCCAAGCCACTAGATGTACCCAAAGCAGTCATAATCTTCCATTCCTGCACGCCTTCCTACAAGCTATTCTAGCTATCTTAATCTGATTTCTTTAGCTATCTTAATCTGATTTCTTTGCCTCCAGCTTTCAGATGCCACATCTCACACTGACCCTACCTGCTTGTACTAACAGCTCATTTCTTTTCCTAATTTTCATACCCCAAAGATCACACGTGGTTTAAGGACTTCCTGTTTATCCAATCAGCTTTTCCCTCACCACTGAATAATGTTCAGAGTTCATCTAAGTTCCCCCATAACCACTGACTCCTCAAAAGCATAAGCTGTTTTTCAAGCCAGGGACTCAAGTCCTCAATAAATGTTTTTTTTAACTGAAGGAATAAATGCTGGAAGTTAACACACCATAACATACCAGACTTTGTTAGACTGTTAGACTCTGCTTCTTCTAACCGAATATCTGAAAATGAAGCTTCTGAAGGTACCTTCTTTTGTTCGTCTTTCAAACTCTGTGCAATTTGCTGCATAGAGAAATCACAGGGAACATTAAGTTTTCAACAGTGTTTGGCAGTAAGAACTAACTGGAAGATGTTAAGGAACTAACATAAAGTAAAGCATCATACCCTAAGTATTTATTAATTACAAAGGGGAAAAATTCACCACCTTACCAATTAGTAGAACAACCTGACATTATGTGCCTTTGATGTAATAAAGTAGAAAGCACACACAGCTAGTATTCTCACCAAAAAGACTGATCCTGAATCTAAGTAAGGGGAGACAAATGTATAATGTGGTATATTTTATAATAAAGGTGGCCTGCTTTCCTCTAAAAAGTCAGTGGTATGAAAATAAAAATCAATGTAGAAGAACTAAATCTTAATTTGATTGAAAGAGATTATATAGACAAGAAAAACAAATGCAACACAGATAACTTGTGTGGATTCCACTTTATATACTTTTTAGTCTCTTCTCTTTATAAAAGACATTTGAAGAACAACTAAGGAAATTTAAATGCAGACTGTAAATATCAACGATAGTGGCTTCTTATGTTTTCAATCCTTCTCCTATGCTACTTACAAAGAAAACTTACAGGAAGCAGTAATTCAATTTATAAAGTAAGAAAAAAGGCTGGCATAGTAGTGTTTATCTGTAATATCAGCTACTCAACAGGTGAGGTAGGAGGATACTGAATTTAAGAACAACTTGGGCAAAGTTAACAAGCCTTTATCTCAAAAATAAAATATAAATAAAAGGCTGGAAAATGTACCTCAAGTTAAGCATTTGACAAAGATAAGGTCTGGCAAGAAGACCTGGATCAAAATCCAAAATAAAACACACACACACACACAGAATATGTCCTGGTAAAGAGGAAAGAAATGAATAGGAAATGTAATTTACAGACAACAAATGATTTATGTTCACTATTTTTTAGTTTTATTTCCTATGAGTGTCATGGCAAGGTTATCTTAATTTTACACTTTAAGTGAGATTGTTTTTTAAAAAAAATCTTATTTTAACTGGTATAAGACAGAAAAACTATGTGGAGAGAGAAAGGCAATGAAGTCAGGAAACTCTACCTCCATCATGACTAACTTATCAGGATACGCCAAGTCTCCAGGAGCTGGTTTATAGCCCGTGATATCTGTCTGAATGTAGATATGGGTTCGGTACACAAGCCGTTCTTGTACATCTTCCAACATTTGCTTTACTCCAGCTGCAAATGCCCCTAGTTGTTCAGCTAATAATTAAAAAAAAAAAATGCAAGCATCCATTCTTTTATGAAACTACTTATAAATAAGCAAAAGTACTACTAAATTGCTCAGAAACATCATGAACCACTTTTGCTGCAGGGATTGTAGCTGCTTGCTATTCCTGTATGACTTGATGACTTTTAAAAAATTTTTAATTCCCACAATTTTAAAACTGGGATTAAGCTGGGCAGAGTGGTACATGCCTGTAAAAACAGCTACTTAGAAGGAAAAAGCAGGAGGATTTATAGTCTGAGGCCAGCCCAAGCAAACATACCAACACTATGCCTCAAAAACAAGAGTCAGGCTTGTACTCCAGTGGCAAAATGTTTCTCTAGCATGTTCAAGGCTCTAGCTTCAAACTCAGTACTGAAAAAAAAAAAATTAATTCATAAGGAATAAACTGTTAACCCTTCTTCCTGGGATGGAATAAAAGTATTTTTAACATTACTGTGAATGAGTCTGAAACTAGGTATGGTGGCACACACTTGTCATCCCAGCTACGCAAGACACATAAGAAGAAAGATCATGAAGTAGGTAGGCAGGATGTTTGAGAGTTCAATGCCAACTCTGAGAAAAGTTAGGGAGAACCTATCTCAAAAACAAAATACAAACAAAAGTGTTAGGGATTACAACTAAAGTAGTAAGTTAAGTTGCCTGGAAAAAGCAAAGCTCTGTGTTCAATTTTCAGTACCACCAAACTCTTCCAAAATGTTAAATATTTAGTTAGGGAGTACAAGAGAAAATAAAAATCTAGTATTTTTCAAATCCACATTGCCACAGATATAATTAAAAGTATCTTTAAAATGATGACTTCTCTGTATTTACCATTATTCTGAACGTGATCCTCAAGAACTTCATTTTTAAGAATCCCACAAAGTTCTGATAAAGTCTCTAAGTGAATAACGTGAATGATCAATGGCCTGAAGACATCATACAATGACACGCACAATTTCTCCAAAAGCTCACTAAAATGAAACAAAATATAATTATGAATAGTAATCTTTTTTTCAGGATTTTTCTAATATTTTTAAAACTTCGTTGATTTCTTCTTGACAAACTAATAAATATGTACTGAAAAATAGCATCTTTTGTTTTATAAACTTTTTGCTTTAAAACCTCAAAGTCAATAGCCTATTTATTTATTTGAGCAATTATTAATTCTTCTTTTCTTTTTTTGGTCCTGAGGCTTGAATTCTGGGGCTGAGCACTATCCCCGAGCTTTTATGCACAAGGCTAGGACTTGAGCTACAGCTCCACTTTTGGCTTTTTCTGTTATTAAATGGAGATAAGAGCTGGGCTGGCTTGTAACTACAATCCTCAGATCTTAGTCTCCTGACTAACAAGGATAATAGGCATGAGCCACCAGCACCTGGTCTACATGTCTTTTCAAAAGAAAAATTATTTTTCAAGATCTGATTACCTTTTACATTTTAATTGATTGCAAATCAAATGGTATTTTCCCCCAGAAGGGGAAAAAAGGAACACAAACATGTTTAGATATAAACAAAAGTCAAAGTACCCTAACATATACCAAAGACTGAGAAATTTGAAACATCTGAAAAAAAAAATTTAGGCTGTCAATATCTGTCATATAGTCAACAGTACTCTTCTGTATACAGTATTTCACCAGAAGTGAGTGCCCAAAAACCATAAAACACGTTTTTCTCTTCCTCATAGTAAGAACCATAATCTTCAAACCTTATGAGTTAAAAATAGCAAACATGAAGAAATCAAGTGTCTGACAGTGATTCTGAAAGACACTCAGAGAAAATTAAGAAAAGCATTATTCAGTAATGTCTGTTTTAATATCCTTCATTACTAGAATCACATATTTACTAGAAGTAATGACTGACTTGTTGGGACTTAGTTCCCTGGAGAGAATTCTTGCTGTCATTGCACAATTGCTATTGTCTCCACAACTGTACTACAGAAAATAAGAAAAGATGTTGGCCTTTCAACTACACATTTATTTCAAGAAAATAATCATTGTCCCACCTGACAATATTCTGTTCGTATACACAGAAAAGTTAAAACACTGAAGTTAATTTTGGAATAATATTCCATAATCTACTAGTCTATTATGACAAGTAATAAATTAAATCTTCTCAACAAAAGTTTAGTTCTATGTACCACCTACTCTAATTTTGACGTCGGCTTTGTAAAAAATTCATTATAAAGTTGGTGCTCATCCTGGCATACGTGGACCATAAAGGCACAGCCACTGCGAACCTGCAAGAGACAAACATATACCACCTACAGTTACACACACTGTTCTGGAACTTATTAAATAAAGGCTGCATTTTATCTGCAAAGGGATCATGCGCATGCATTTATTTTTCTCATGTTTATTAGCATACATTAACAAAAAGTTGCGCCGGGCGCTGGTGGCTCACGCCTGTAATCCTAGCTACTCAGGAGGCTGAGATCTGAGGATCGCGGTTCAAAGCCAGCCCGGGCAGGAGAGACCGTGAGACTCCTATCTCCAATAAACCACCAGAAAACCGGAAGTGGGGCTGTAGCTCAAGTGGTAGAGTGCTCGCCTTGAGCTGAAGAGCTGAGGGACAGCGCCCAGGCCCAGAGTTCAAGCCCCATGACCGATCAAAAAAAAACAAAAACAAAAACAAACAAAAAAAAGTTTTGTTGTAATAACTCAGAAATGTGTATACACGCACAGGTATTTAAAAAACAACCAACAACAGAAAATGCCTTATTTTTAAAGGATAAGTACAAAATGGAGTAATAGATAATCTTCCTTTTTTGGTAGGGATAAAAAGGAGATATTCAAATTTGAACGTAAGGCCTTGTACTTGCCAGAAAGGCACCCTTGAGCCACATCTCCAGCCCTTTATTTTCTTAGTGCTCTATTTTCTAAACTTTAAATAATGAACACAAATTAATTTTCCAGTCAAAAGAAGGGTACATACAAAAAGACTCCTGCTGGGCACCGGTGGCTTACTCCTGAAGTCCTAGCTTCTCAGGAGTCTGAGATCTGAGGATCATGGTTCAAAGCCATCCCAGGCAGGAAAGTCCATGAGACTCTTATCTCCAATAAACCACTCAGAAAACCGAAGTGGCACTGTGGCTCAAGTGGTAGAGCACTCGCCTTGAGCTGAAGAGTTGAGTGACAGCGCCCAGGCCCAGAGTTCAAGCCCCATGACCGAAAAAGAAAACTCTCCTTTATGTATTTTCCTATAGTATGAATTAAAAACACACTAACAGGTATTTCCCTATCAAAAAATACACTAAGTTTAGCTACTCAGGAGGCTGAGATCTGATGATCAGAGTTCAAAACTAGCCCAGACAGGAAAGTCCCAGAGACTCTTCTTTCCAATTCCAGAAGTAGAACAAGGGCTCAAGTGGCAAAGCACTAGCTTTGAGTACAAATGCTCAGGGGTACTACCCAGTCTGTGAGTTCAAGCCCCAGAACTGGCACAAAAATTAATTAAAATAAAATAAAATAAATTGAGAACACTTTGCAAAATTAAGTAAGGCTAATTATTAAACCAGTCTGCCATATCTGAAAAACAGATATGGAAACTAAAGGCATGTTCCCAAAATAAATTACGTGGTACAAAATTAAGTTTGGAGGCAACTTCTCAGAAATATCAAAGGACAACCAATATTATTATAAGAGATAGGCAAATCCGTTAAGATATAAACATAGCTCTGAGGAACACTTAGCATTAAACAAAACTAGGTAGAAACTTACCAAGGCACAATGATCTCTGTTGTTCTGGCTAGTTAATTCTGTGACAGTACAGGCAATACTAGGACCCAAAAGAAGTTCCCGTTGATCAAGGTAACACTGGTGGATATCATTTAGCAGGTGCTGGTATCTGGTGGAAGACAAAAAAATAAGATTCTGGTGGGAACTTTTGATTTTAGATATGTAAATTAAATCTGATTTTAAATCCCAGAATAGGGCCAGGCATCCAGTGGCTCATACTTGGAATCCTAGCTAGGCAAGGATCAGGAAGATGATCTGAAGCCAATCCAGGTAAAAAAAAGTGGGGGGAGAGGAGGTGAGTCCAAAGGCTCTATTTCCAATTAATGAGCAAAAACTGAATTGGAGGAATGACTCAAGTGGTAGAGTGCTAGCCATAGCAAGAAAGCCAAGTGAGAGTACAAGGTTCTGAGTTCAAGGCCTAGTACTGGCAAAAAGTATAAGTTGCCGAGCTTCAAAAGTAACAATGGTCACCTCTTATAGCCCACATTAAGTGGTTAGAAATATAGACGTAAAGCACCATAATGAAGTGACGGCATGACTTGTTTTGAGAGACACTGAAAAGATTTTATTTTAAAATCTTCAGTGAAGGGTTGGGAAGGTGGCTCAGTGGTAGAGCACTTGACTTGCATGCATGAGGCCCTGGGTTTGATTCCTCAGCACCACATAAGCAAAAAGAAAAAAGCCGGAAGTGGCGCTGTGGCTCAAGTGGTAGAGCGCTAGCTTGAGCTGAAGAGCTGAGGGACAGCGCCCAGGCCCAGAGTTCAGGCCCCACGACCGGACCCAAAAAAAAAAAAAAAAAAATCTTCAGTGAATTATAATGTTTCTGTTTTTGGTTGGTTGTGGGGCTTGAACTCAGAGTCTGGACACTGTCCCAGACAGTGCTCAAGGCTAACCTTATATCACTTTGAGTCATAGCTCCATATCCGGTTTTCTGAGACTTTACAGAGACTTTCCTGCCTGGGCTGGCTTTGAACTGCAATCCTCAGATCTCAGCCTCCTGGTGTAGATAGGATTACAGGTATGAGCCACCAGTGCCCAACAAGTGAAGTGTAATTTAAAAAGAGCAAAATTAGCTCTACTTATTTTTCTTTAGTTTCTATATATATATATGTATATATATATATATATATATATATATATATATAAAATGTGTATATATGTGTATGTATATATATATTTATTTTATTTTATTTTGCACAAATAGAGACCTTGCCAGGTGCTAGTGGCTCATGCCTGTAGTCCTAGCTACTCAGAAGACTAAGATCTAAGAATCAAGGTTTGAAGCCAGCCTGGGTAAAAAAGTCCAAGAGAGGGGCTAGAAAGATGGTTCAGTGGTAGAGTGCTTGCCTTGTATGCATGAGGCCCTGGGTTCGATTCCACAGCACCACATAAGCAGAAAAAGCCCGCAATGGCACTGTGGCTCAATGGTAGAGCGCTTCCCTGGAACTGACAGAGCAGAGGGACAGCGTCCGGGACCAGAGTTCAAGCTCCACAACCGACCAAAAGAAAAAAAAAAAAAAAAAAGAACCTGAAAGTTTTGGGGCTAGAAAAGTGGTTCAGTGGTAGAGTGCTTGCCTCACATGCATGAGGCCCTGGGTTCGATTCCTCAGCACCACATAAGAAAAAAGGAAAAAAAAGCCAGAAGTGGCACTGTGGCTCAAGTGGTAGAGTGCCAGCCTTCAGCTGGAGAGCTGAGGGACAGCAACCAGACCCAGAGTTCAGGCCCCACGACCAACAAAAAAAGTCCAAGGGGCTGGGAAGGTAGCTCAGTGGTAGAGTGCTTGCCTTGCATGCATGAGGCCCTGGGTTCGATTCGTCAGCACCACATAAGCAAAAAGAAAAAAAGCCGGAAGTGGCACTGTGGCTCAAGTGGTAGAGTGCTAGCCTTGAGCTGAAAAGCTGAGGGACAGTGCCCAGGCCCAGAGTTCAGGCCCCACGACTGGACCCAAAAAGAAAAGTCCAAGAGACTCATCTCTAACCAGAAAAGGACAGAAGTGAAGTTGTGGATCTAGTGGCAGAGCACCAGCCTTGAGCAAAAAAACACCAAACTAGTGCACAGCCTTATGCTCAAGCCCAGTACTGACACATGCAAACATACACACACAAAATAGAAGGCCTCATATCTGTCCAAATGAAAGGAAACTCTGCTTTGGGAAATAATGCCACCATTTAAACTTGCTAAGTCAAGTCTGAAACCTTGCTCCCCAAAACGGTTTATAAGACACAAGAACAAGTTTGAAGGCAATTGCTCAGAAAATATTGGGAACATATTTGCAAAAGTACAACGTAATGTGGAAGCCAAAGAACTTCTGGGTACTCACTCAGGTATTTTTTCAGATCGTTGTTCTATCTGTTCAATAAGAGTCTGTAAAGAAAAATACAAACCTATTTCAATTGTACTTTTCATTACTTTCTGACTATAATTGTACCACATTCACTTTAAAAAATAAATATTAAAAAGTTTAAACCCACATCAGGGCCAGGTACTGGTGGTTCACACCTGTAATCTTAGCTACTCATATAAACATTAAAAAGTTTAAAACCATACCAGGGCAAGGAGCTGGTGGCTCACGCCTGTAATCCTAGCTACTCAGGAAGCTGAGATCTAAGGATTGTGGTTCAAAGCCAGCCCAGGCAGGAAAGTCTATGAGACTCTTATCTCCAATTAACTACCAGAAAACTGGAAATGGCGCTGTGGCTCAAGTGGTATAGTTCTCACCTCGAGCTGAATAGCTCAGGGACAGCACCCAGGCCCAGAGTTCAAGCCTCAAGACTTACAAAAAACAAAACAAGCAAAAAAAAAAAAAAAAAAACACTCCAGGCGCCAATGGTTCATGCCTGTAATCTGAAGATCATGGTTCAAAGCCAGCCCAGGGAGAAAAGTCCTTCTGAGACTCTTTATCTCCAAATAATCCTTCAAAAACCAGAAGCAGAGCTGTGGCTCAAAGTGGTACATGCTCGGGGCTGGGAAGGTGGCTCAGTGGTAGAATGCTTGTCTTGCATGCATGAGCCCTGAGTTCAATTCCTCAGCACCACATAAGCAGAAAAATAAAAGCTGGAAGTGGTGGCTCAAGTGGTAGAGCGCTAGCCTTGAGCTGAAGAGCTGAGGGACAGCGCTCAGGCCCAGAGTTCAAGCCCCATGACCAGACCCAAAAAAAAAAAGTGGTACATGCTCATCTTGAGCAAAGAGCTCAGAGACAGAGCCCAAGCTCTGAGTTCAAGCCCCACAACCTACCTCCCACCCCAAAAAAAATTTAAAGCCATAATAATAACCTATTATTAAAGTTATCACCTATATTAAAGTTATCACACTTAATATTTTATACCTATAGTTCTAAATTTAGTTTTAAAAACTAGAATTATACTATATATTTAGTTTTATATTCTTATCCTTTAAGAAGTAATATTGCCATCGTTAAATAATTTTCCACATTACAGTAATATGTATAGAAAGCTGTAATCAAGTTTTTGGTTGCTAATAAAACTCAATCACTATACATAACATGTAAATCAGTATGTGAAGATGGCTACATATTATCTAGTTTTTGGGGTTTTTTGGGGATCCAGTCATGGGGCCTGAACTCTGGGCATGGGCACTGTCCCTCAGCTCTTCAGCTCAAGGTTAGAACTCTACCACAGCACTTCTGGCTTTTTTTTTCTGCTTATCTGGTCTGAGGAGTCGAACCCAGGGCCTCATGCATGCAAGGCAAGTGCTCTACCACTGAGCCACCGTCCCAGCCCAATGGCTACATCTTATCATATTGAGTAATGGACCATAAGTCAACAATTCTACAGTTTAGAACTTTAAGGTGTTTCTAAAGAATCCTCATGACTGGTTAAGTGCATGGAGTGAAACCAAGGAGTTCAAGCTCCATCATTACTATTTAAGCCCTGGCAAGCTCTAGTTCACCTCTCGAGATCACACTTCCTTCTATTAGAAGGCCGGTATAATAAGAACATTTACCTCTCCAGTGAAGATCCCAATACACTGGATCAAAGGAGAGATGTACTTTACAGGCTTTCACGTATACTGCTAAAATATAGTTTAGGAAGTAATTCATTCATATCACCATCAGCAGTACTGCTTCTCATCAAATCTTTGAAAGCACTACTGTACCACACTTTCATTTGCCTATTTCTGATAGATGAAAGAAAAAAAGCTAAACCTTAACTTGAATGCATTTCTCACATATTCTGTAATTTGGTCACTTAATATTAGGTATTCATCTTCTTGTACTGATTTATAAGTACAACATATTAAAAATGTTAATTTTACAAACATCTCCATTTTAGCCTTTGCTTTTACTATTCAGAATTTAGAAAATTAAGTTTTAAATCCTCAACTTTTTCTCTGTAATTTTTTTCCAACAATGTTTTTCTACCTTTTTTTTTTTTTGAGGGGGGGGAATATCTGCTTACTATTTCTATATTTCACTTAAGATGTTTTTCCAAGCTGGGTACTAGTAGCTTCCGCCTGTTATCCTAGCTACTCAAGAGGCGGAGATCTGAGAATTGTGGTTCAAAGCCAGGCAAGGCAAGAAAGCTCCTGAGCCTCAACTCCAATTAACCACTAAAAGGCCAGAAGTAGAGCTGCGGATCAAGTGGCAAGGCACTAACCTTGAGTAAAAAAGCTAGGCAGATAGTGCTTAGCCCCTGAGGTCAAGTCCTAGGACTGGTACCAAAAAAAGATGGGATGGGTAGACACCTCCCTTAGGATCTTAAACACAGAAGATAGTTAAGACAATCTAGTTGTTTTTATATTTTACAGACCCAGACTTGGATCTAATTGCTGTCACCTTTCCTGCCTTCCTTTCATCACACCTACTAACATCCTGCATTCCTGTCACAACAAATAAATACATGGATTCTTCCCAAATACATTTCTTTTCTGGCTCTGCAGACTTCCCTGTAACGTTTTCTGTATAAAATACCTTTATCAACCCTCTTGAGTCCTATATAAATCAAAGATTCGGAAGTTCAATTGCCACTTGCATCTAGAAACCTTCCTAAGCATCACAGGAAGAACAAGGTGTTTCCTCCTCTGTGAACTTCCAGCTCCCCAGGACACACCTCTATGATACACTGCTGAAATGTGAAAGGATAATGCCTTCTTTTCATTCCTGTTCTTATCTCTGAGATTAGCAAAGGACCTCCAAAGGGCTGACTGAGAATATTTCATGATAATATTCTATTTATGCCAATGGACTTACTCTGACTTTGGGGGCAGCAGCTCGAAATTTCACATAAAATAGTGTAAAAGCATTGTCTGCATTATGTACAGATGAAGGATCCTAAAGAAACATAAAAAAGGATAATTAGCAAACAAATACTCAGAAAATGTAATATTACGTATTATCTAGTATATGGCCTCTATACTAAAAGCTGAGAAAAAAAAATCTCACAGAGATTATACAATTTTATTGCTACAGATGAGAAATAGTTAAGAACTGTCATCTCTCTCTCTCTTTATATTTAAGATTTATTGTATATTACTTGAATTTTGGCAGTAAACAGACTTAAATTAGAATTCATACTGTTATTTATTGCATGTAAGATTAGACAAATTACTTAATCTCTGAGATACAGTATACCCATCTATTAGCATAATGCACTCACAAATCTTTAGTGAAGTTCAATAGTAAAGCACTAACAGAGCAAATACTTATTTAATGGACATTAGTTTCTTAAACTTGCTGATATATAGATCAGCTGTCATGTCAGATAAGAACAATAAGTATAGAAAAATGCAAGCCAAAATTACTGGCTTTGAATTATAGGATCAAAAACACTTTACAGGTTCATTATAAAGTGATGTTAAAAAATGAAAGAGCCCGGTGCCAGTAGCTCACAGCTGTAATCCTAGCTACTCAGAAGGTTGAGATCTGAGAATCACAGTTCAAAGCTAGCCCAAGCAAGAAAGTCCATGAGACTCTTATCTCCAATTAACCACCAGAAAACCAGTGGCACTGTGGCTCAAATAATAGTGCTACCCTTGAGCTGAAGAGCTGAAGGACAGACCCCAAGCCCTGTGGTCAAGCCCCATGACCAACAAAATAAATAAAACATATCCTTTATATAGTTTTTCTTAGAAAAGAACTATACTCAATGACTATCCTAGCTAATGCTACTCTTATTTTCTAACCTACATAAGAGGTTGTTAATTTTCTACTTAGCATATACTGTAACTTGTAACTAGTTTGTTTTCTTCTTTGCTTATTTCTGCTCCTAAACATAATCACAGGCAAAAAGCCTGAGATGTAGCTCAGTGGCTAAGCGCTTGCCTAGCAAGTGCAATGCTCTGGGTTCAATCTCTAGTTCCAAAAAAGAAAAAAATACAAAAAAAAAAAAAAAAATTAGGGTTAAAAAAGTAAGGAATGGCTGGGGATGTAGTTCAATGGTAAAGCAACTTCAGTTCAGTCCCCAGCACTATAAATAAATTATTCACCATTCAAACTGAGCCACTTTTATTATTCTGGAGTATCTTCTCCCAATATTTTCACAAGCAATTTAGACAAGAAATGACAAATAGCTTGTAGCTCAATTTTTTTTGTTCTGGTCTTGGGGCTTGAACTTGGGGACAGAGATCAGGACTGTCCCTAAGCCTCTGTACTCAAGGCTAGTGCACTACAACTTGAGCCACAGCACCACTTCCAGCTTTACCTGAGCAGTTTTATTGGAGAAAAGACTCTCACAGACTTTTCTGCCTGAGCTGACTTCGAACTGCCATCTTGAGACTCTTGAGTAGCTAGGATTATATGTGTGAACTACCAGCACCCGGCTAAAATCTGATTTTTTTTTTCTTTTGTCAGTTGTGGGGCTTGAACTCAGGGCCTGGGCGCTGTCCCTGTGCCTTTGTGCTCAAGGCTACCTCTCTACCACTTTTGAGCCACAGGGTTACTTCCTCAATTTTTTTTTTAATCAAATATCACTAGGTACTTTTTATACTGTTATATAATATTTGAAACTAAGACTATAATGGACATATATAATATGACCCTTTCTCCTATTATAATCTTAATAAAATATATATATAACATATAATCTTAATAAAAGGTATTTTGGAATTGCAAAGTACTAATTTCTAATGAAAACTGTAAATGATAAATGAATCGAAAAACAGCTACTCTTGAGATTAACTCACCCTTTTTAGTAACTGATTTGTGAGGGTCTGTAGTGTATTCACAGTGTATGTCTTCATGAGGTGCAAAGCTTTAGAAAGACATTGTTTAAACTTCAGTAAGTATACAGGGTAATCTTTAAAATTAGGCTGTAAAAAAAAAAAAAGATTTACAAAGAAGAAATAAACTTTAACCAAAAAAAAAATAAGCTTAAATGGGGATGGGGAGGTAAAACTGGGAGAATAAGGGATGAGGTGACATTGTCCAAAATGAAATATACTCTTTACCTGACTTATATAACTGTAACCCCTCTATCCATCACCTTTATAATAACAATTTTAAAATTTTAAAAAGCAAGCTTAAAATAAAAACATGCTGTCCTTTACGTAAAACAATATATGAAGTTCAAAATAAAGGTTTACACAAAATGAGTATCAGGATCCTGAAACATGTTGGATGCTGAGGGAGTGGGGCACAAGCAGACTGGAGAGGAAGCAGCACAGAAATGGAGGGTGGAAGAGTAAGCAAGTACAGTCATTATATTCAATGTACATTATGCAAAAGCTGAAATACCTAACTTGAGGGTATGAATGGAACTGGAAAAGACAGGGGAGTACAATGGAAAGGAGATATTGGTAAAGAGTGATCTGACTTGTAGAACTGAAACTCTGTGTACAACTATGTAAAATAAGTAGATAAATAAATAATAATAAATAAATAATAATAAATAAATAAAGTTTATGTAGATCATGAGCTGACTGAAAAACTATAACAACTTGGTCTCAGCCAATCCTCTGTTCCAACATCGTTATTTGCAGTTGTGACCAAAATATATTTTCAGTAACCCACAGACTTTGAGACTGATATATAAGGCCCTACCAAATAAGGGTAGGAGTTAGGAGACATAAGTAGACCAATAAGTCCTTGGGAGACAAAAAGCGTTATTAAAATCAAAGATCATGTCCCTTTTTCTCCTCCCAAGAAACAATTTCTATTTGTAAAGAAATTATCTTGCATATTCAGATATCCCCAGTTTAAAAACAGTTTACACTTTCAGGTAGGACAAAAATGACTCAACCAGAAAGGACCCTTTCTACTGTAGGGGAGACCTCAGAAGCAGAAAGTACTTTTTTTATTTTTTTTATATTTTTATTATCTTTAAGTAGCTGTATAAGAGTTACCACTCAACAAAGCAGTTTATGAATACAGTGCATCTTGTTCAATGTCACCCCTTTCAACATTCCAACTCATTCCTCCCAACCCATCCTTTCCCTCACTTTTCTTAATGGTGTAGGATACATGTTGAATTTTTTGCCATTTAATAAAGCAATTCATGAATACCAATGCATCTTGGTCTGTGTAACCCCTTCAACATTTACCCCCTTTCAATCCCATGCTTTCCCTTATTTTTCTTAATTTTGTAGAATGTACAATAATTCTTGACTGCATTCTCCTCCCCTTTTTCCCTTCATCCACCCCTCTCCCCTTGGCCCCACCCCCACCTCTTGCAAGTACCCATTTCCTGGTGCTTATTTTGTTGGGCTTTGACTTAGTCTTTCTAAAGAATTATACTACTGGAGCTCTCTACTGAGTCTCTTTGAAGGCACTTTTTATACTACTCCTGAAAACAACGAAGACCTTATTGCTACTATTGTTCCGCATGTGACAAATATTACATACACTCAACCCGCATAGAGGGTTGGTTGTAGGACCCTCAGGGATATCAAAATCTGTGAATTCTCAAGTCTCTTACATAAAATTGTATAGTATTTCCAAATAATCTATGTGTATCCACTCATATACTTTACATAAACTTTAGATAAACATCTGTAAATTATGTACAACATCTAATACCATGTGAATGTTATGAACAGTTGGCACACTGTATTTTCACGGAACAGTAACAAACAGCGTATGCTATTTAGTTCATTTTTTTCCTAAGTCTTCCATTCAAAGTTCAGCCTGTGTGGCTGAATCCACAGATGCAGAAGCCATGGATAGAAGGAGTAACCATTTTTCCCACAGAAAAAAATTTTTCTTTTATAGTAGAAGTTGTGTAACAGGAATGCTAAGATTTCTTAAAATCACATTGTACTGGAGGTATGGCTCAAGTGTTATAGCACAAGCCTAGTGAGCACAAAGCCCTGAGTTCAAACCCCAATACCACCAAAAAATAAATAAAACTTACATGAGATGAGATATACATTATACAATCATCTAATTTGGCCAGCATAGGTATAAATCCTTCACTATTCACAGACAACGTAGGAGAATTCAGTTTCTTCAAGTGGAAAAAAAGTTATTGACAAAAAAAGTAAAAGTTGAAAATTATGAATTAGAATTAACATATTTCCTTTTAGAGCTAATATAGTGTACTTGTATTTTTAACAACACATTTTAAAACTCATTAAAATTATCTTCAAGAGTCCATGTACAATAAACAAAAATAAAAAACAATACGGCTTTAATTCAGTTAATACCTATTAAACTTTAATAGAATCCTGTATAAACTAGCAAATATTTTTATTACAAACTGCACGAAAGTTGAAACAATACATCAAATACTTATCCCTACTTTTTACAATTTAATGTTTATGATGATTCTACTTTTGAATACTTGTAGGGCTCATATTATGCTTAGCATTCACATATGAAAGTCAAGTATGCGGCTAGGAGTGGGAAGGAAGTGGCTCCACCATAAAGCCCCTGCCTAAAACAAGGGTCTGAGTTCAATCCCCAGAACCACAAAAAGAAGTCAAATTATTATTAGTCAATTATTTATCTTGATTCACAAGTAGCATACCAATGACTACATCTCCACTGCACTCAACACTAACTGGATGCTAGTTTTATTATTGCATTTATTACACTGTGTACTCATCATTTTAATGACATACTTTAATTATAATTACTGTAATTTATGAGTCAGAAAGATATAGAAATATAATTTACAGCAGCCTATATTGGCTATTAGTTAGAATTCTAGATACTTTATCATGATACATTTCTTCAAATTAAAACATGAGAATTTTTTAATGTCATAACTCATAATCACAGAAAGATTAAAAATTGAGTATTTCTTCTCATAATGTTCACAGCTTACAGACAAGATTGCTGGAAAAGATAACCAACAAAGATATTTTAATAGTAACATAACTTAGGGCTGGGAAGGTGGCTCAGTGGTAGAGAGCTTGCCTTGCAAGCATGAGGCCCTGGGTTCAATTCCTCAGCACCACATAAGCAAAAAGAAAAAAGCCCGAAGTGGTGCTGTGGCTCAAGTGGTAGAGCACTAGCCTTGAGCTGAAGAGCTGAGGGACAGCGCCCAGGCCCAGAGTTCAGGCCCCACGACCCGACCCAAAAAAAAAAGTAACACAACTTAAGCAAAACTATTTTTAAATAATATTGAAATATTTTGAAACAGGTAATATATGTCCTTTGGTTACAAATATCTCTGAGTAAGTTAAAATTATCACTCAAGCCAATTTAAAAGTTAGAAGACTGAACTAAAAAGAGGTAATACAAAATAAAAATCACTAATTTTGTAAAAAAGTAAAAATTACTTACTGTGTTAATAGTTTCCAATTCATTAAAATAGGAAAGTTTTTGTTGGATGTTTTCAGCCAGATCAACAAGTTCCGACTTGTGTTTTTTAAAAAAGAAAAATGAATTATTATAAGAATATATAAGAATCAACATTCTCATCCCAAAATTACTTTTAATAGATTTGTTAGACATTTAGATTTTTAAAAGCACACAGAAGTAGATATAGAAGCAATCCTGAGATAAATATAGTAACTTTAATGCTCTCACTCCAAGTCATGAGTTTAGGTTTAACACTGATCAGCTGATCTGCTAGTCACCCAGAGTGTCTGAAAAATGTCAATGATAGAGTGAGCAGAGCAAATCAGTACATCATCCACTACACTCCAAAACTACACTGAAACCTAACATTAAAAACAGAAAAGTTTGTCTGTGCCTGTTCACATAGGCTTATTATTAATGAAAGCAAGCTGACCTCGTAGCAACCTGAATGCTTAGCACAGATCTCATGCACTTAAGTAATAATGTTCAGCATATACTTGGCTAAAGTAAGGAAATTATTAAATTATATTCATCTACTCAAAAATACAATGTTCAATATAATCACTGGCCCTCTCCCCTATTCCCAGTTACCTGTTCTTTTAGGAGCTGTTCACAGGCCTCATGGAGAGTTCCTGTTTTATTGGACACAAAAAGATACTGCTCCTGCAGTGACTCCAGGTGCTGCAGGGCACTGTTCACTTCAGTCAGTATGGCATCACACTGCTCCTGAAACCCAGACAAGTAATCCCTCATCTGTCTAGAAAACAGAACCAAAAGGGGATTGGCAATAATCTTTTCCCCTAGTGAAACCACAGTCAATAAACAACAAAGTCTCGTTTTTCCCAAAATGCTTGAATTCCAGGAGGAAAATGTGATCTACTTAACAAAGGCTGATTCTATTCAGAAATAAAGCAAACCTACCTCACAAATTGTTTCAATACTGTAAGCAATAAAAAGAAGTTATTTTAAAGCCTTAACCTGATTTTTCCCATGCAAAGGAATAATCACTGGCTCAACTTTCAAAGACAGGAACACAAAGACATCCGAAGGCAGCAAGTAAGGTCAACCCTACACATAACTGCCATTTTTGAAATGTTGTAGAGAGAATTCCGGATTTGAGTTAGAAAATGACGGCTCAAATTCCAGCTCTGTCTAAATCCAAACAATGAACCTGTTCCCTTACTATTTCCAGGCCTTAGTTTGCACATCTATAAAACTGGAATTATTAATACCTTTCCTCACATAGATACTATATCTCATTTGAGATCACATATCAAAGAGCCTAACAGTGTCTACACAATAAAAAGTATCAATAAATGTTGAGAATGAATGTAGAACCTACAGTCCCAAAATCAGCCAGAAACTGTACAGGGTCACTTTTTCCCATGTTATCAGGACACACAATGGAATACATAGTTCTCAATCTGGATGCTATCCTTAGTCTTTTGCAGATGCTTCTCTTTAGAAAGCCAACACACAGGGCTGGGAAGGTGGCTCAGTGGTAGAGCGCTTGCCTTGCATGCCTGAGGCCCTGGGTTCGATTCCTCAGCACCACATAAGCAAAAAGAAAAAAGCAGGAAGTGGAGCTGTGGCTCAAGTGGCAGGGCGCTGGCCTTGAGCTGAAGAGCTAAGGGACAGCGCCCAGGCCCAAAGTACAGGCCCCACGACCGGACCCCCTGCCCCCCCCCAAAAAAAAAGAAAGCCAACACACTTGTCAGGATGCCTTTAAAACACCTACCTGAACTCAGTCCTTTAAAAAGAAAAAACAATATCATAACTTCTAATGGCAATTATAACGAACAAAATCCTTTCTCTGGCTACTCAAAGAAAAATATAGCTGTTAAAAGCTTCTTTGCGGGCTGGGAAAGTGGCTCAGTGGTAGAGCGCTTGCCTTGCATGCATGAGTCCCTGGGTTAGATTCCTCAGCACCACATAAGCAGGAAAAAAAAAAGCCGGAAGTGGCGCTGTGGCTCAAGTGGGAGAGTGCTAGCCTTTGAGCTGAAGAGCTTAGGGACAGCGCCCAGGCCCAGAGTTCAGGCCCACAACTGGACCCAAAAAAAAAAAAAAAAAAATTCTTTGCAACTTTATTTAAAGATACAGAGTAAGAAATGTTGAGATGACTAAAATTTAAATAGTTAACAAATATAAGAGCCACACATACCTATATTTAGTTCCTTCATCCTGATCCATCTGAGTTTGTAGCTTTGCAAACCACGAGAAAAACTGGAAAAAAAAAGAGTACTGTTATCAACCAAATTAAAAAAGGTAAGATGGAAAGTGACTACATGCTAAACTATGAATCAAATGGTAAATACTACCTAAATTGTATTGTTTAGGTTCACTCACCAAGAATTGGGTTTAAGCATATATAATACATGCATAATACTATATTCTAAGAAAAGAATTTTAAAAATATTGGTCATTTCCAGAGACAAGTAAGGAACAGCATTAAAGAAACAATATATAAAAAAATAAATGTTTGGGGCTGGGAAGGTGGCTCAGTGGTAGAGCGCTTGCCTTGCATGCATGAGGCCCTGGGTTCGATTCCTCAGCACCATAAGCAAAAAGAAAAAAGCCGGAAGTGGCGCTGTGGCTCAAGTGGTAGAGTGCTAGCCTTGAGCTGAAGAGCTGAGGGACAGTGCCCAGGCCCAGAGTTCAGGCCCCACGACCAGACCCAAAAAAAAAAAAAATGTTTTCCCCAAGTAACAAGCTAATACTACTTACTAGCTTGCCACCAATATGAATAGAATAGAGCTTTAGACAAATATCATTATTATCTAATAAGAAATATAAAAATATAAACTCAAAAATAATATTACAGACATTTAAGAACATGGAATGTTAAGAAATTGAGGGGCACTCGAGGAAAGAAAAGAAAGATGGAGGGTGAATTGATTTTGAAATACACTGCAATTATGTATGAGGATGGTATAAGGAATCTCAATGACAGCTACTGATTAACAGAGAGGACAGGGAAAAAGCAGCATTCTAGATTCGCACAATGTAATATATCCACATCTGACACACAGTAAAAACCCTTTGGTAGAACACACACTTTAAAAAAAAGAATGACAGAAAAGTAAAACAAGCACTGATGGAAGCTGGATACCAACAAAAGAGGAAGGGCTAAAAAGATTGTGAATAAGAATGACTATGGCTGAAATTGTTTTTAAAGGTGGGGAAAGGATTAAGGGAAATTAAGAGAGGAGGTGAGGTTGATCCCAGCCCATTGTTTAGTGTGGAAATGTCACAATGATACCTTCTTATACAAAAAGAACAAAGAACATGGCCTTTAACATTAGTCTGAATCTAGCCCTACCACACCAGTGTTATGGAAAATATCCATGATTTAAAATATGCAGAGTTGAGCATGGTGAGACATACTTGTAATCCCATTACTTGGGAGGGGTTTAACTTAGGCAAGCATAAAGGAGGTTTAGGTGATGATAAAAATGTATTATTACTTGATAGTGGCAGTTATACCAGTATACACTTGTCAAAATTCACCTAGCTGACACATAAAAAATGGTAACTCAATTCATCTTTTTTAACCTTTTAGAGAGTCATGCAAATTTAATATAGGAGATTTCATTTTCATTTCAGACATGGTAAGATTCCGTGTCCAATTGTGAAGTAGAAGTCAATGTCAAGTATAAACTGACAAGTTGAACTGAAACCCCTCTGTACAATAAAAATAAATGCATAATTTTAAAAAAACAAAAGTCAGTGCCAAGGATACGAAGGTCTGCATGTAGCTTGACTATCATTTAGAGAGCACTTAGTGTGTGTTGCCTGCCACACATCACATCTACAAGCATCAGCCCATTTAATTCTCATAAAGATCTTATGTTACATAAGATTAGGCACATGAGTTATTCTAGATGAATCCACAGATCAAGATTCTACATAATAAGTAAGAAGGCAAAAGGGGCAGGGGTTTGGGGGTTTGCTCAAATGGCAGAGAATTTGCTTAGGAAGATTGAAGTCCTGAGTTTAAAAACCTCAGTCTCTCTCTCTCTCTAACACACACACACACACACACACACACACACACACACACACACACACACACAATCAACCAATCTTACAATATACACATTAGAATATCTTAACTTTTACTGCCAATATGACTGTGCATCAGATTGACTTAAAACAAATAGTCACTATGACCATGTGCACCTGATCATATAGAATAATTAATACATATTAAAAAGAACTCCAGGAAATGGAAACAAGAAGTTTTTCTTTGATGTTTTCTCTTCTGTTTGTACTGTTTGTTCCTCTACCTATCTTTGGGAAGGCAAGAGAGGAGCATAGAAATAGAAGACATAGGGTGAATAAATGCAGCAGTGGTAGTCACTAGACATTCATTGTGTTGAAAATGAACTATACAATTTGTGAGTAGGGATAGAAAGGAAAAACTTGGGAGAGGCGAAGGAAGGCCTGACATTGTCTAAAAAGAAATGCACTCAGGCTGGGAATGTGGCTTAGTGGTAGAGTGCTTGCCTAGCATGCACTCAGTACCACATAAACAGAAAAGGCCAGAAGTGGTACTGTAGATCAAGTGGTAGAGAGTGCTTATCTTAAGAAAAAGAAGTTCAGGGTCAGTACCCAGACCCTGAGTTCAAGCCCCAGGACTGGTTAAAAAAAAAAAAAAAATGCACTCATTACCCAATTTATGCAATTGGTAACCCCTCTGTACATCACCTTTATATAAATAACAATTTAAAAAATAAATTTTAGCCAGGTACATGGTGGCTTGTGCCTGTAATCCTAGCTAGTCAGGGAGCTAAGATTGCAGTTCAAAGCCAGATAGGGCAGGAAAGTCTGGGAGACTCTTATCTCCAATAAACTACTCAGAAAAAGTCCAAAATGGTGCTGTGGCTCAAGTGGCAGAGCACTAGCCCGTAGAACAAAGAGGCTCAAAGACAATGCCCAGGCCCTGAGTTCAAGTCCCAGATCAGGCCAAAAAAACAAAGGTACATTCATTTACCTGCTGTGCAGTCTCAATTCTTTCATCTCCCATTTCTAAGGAAGTGAAGCCTTTCAAGAGAATATCTTCTGTAGACTCAGGCACTACTGCAGCTGGCTCAGTGGACAGCAATTGGGATGTTAAACTGCACAAGTCATCCATTGGAAGCTTGAAAAAAGAAAGATATTTAAGCAACTTCAAAGTTCTCTGAATTTAACTCAAGATGTTTTGCATCTCAGTTGCTTTTAAAGATAAAAGGATATGAGATTAATAAATGCCATTTATACTAACACATGTTAAATGCTACTCTCAAAGTGTAAACATAGTCAGATACTGGTGGCTCAAGCCTAAAAACCTAGCTAGGGGCTGAGATTTGAGATCTGGGTTCAGGTTAGAGGCTCAAAGCCAGCCTGGGGCAAGAAAGTTAATGAGACTCTTACCTCTGATTAACCACCAAAAAGCTGGAAGTAGAGCTGTGGCTCACAGAGCATCAGCCTAGAGCAAAATAAAAATCTCAGGGAAAGGACCACCAATATCCCATTGTGTGATTAGTAAGGTGTGATTCTGAGTTAGCTAGTAAATCTGTACTCATCCACACATTTTCTCACTTGAATCTTTTGTGAACAGAAAAAGCTGTTAAAAGTAGCTTGCTCTTCCAAGATTTAACACAAAAGCCTGACCAACCACACCCAAATGTTAGCCAATAAAATCTACTTTTTCCTATCAGTTCTGTCCACCAATACATCTCACCTACACTCTCACTACAGATTTTGAAATTATACCAGAATGGAAAGGATTTCATAGGTTCCTATCAATTTCAGGAGAGCTCCAAGGACAAGACCTCAGTTTTCCAACATTACCTCTTAGTGCTTTCCAGTTCTCCACTACTAAACATAGTTAGAAACTGAACATGGTGGCTTATACCTGTAATCTTAAGCTACCTAAGAGATGGAGATCAGAAAGATCTGATCAAGGCCAGAGTTCAAGGCCAGAATGGGAAGTTTGTATTTCCCCCTCACATCCCATCCCCATCTCAAGCATGTGTGTCATTCCAGCTATACAAAGCATAAATAAGAATATTGTGAGATCTGAAGGCAATCTGACTGTGGTATTTGTCGCTCCACTGACCATGAGGGTTACTGAGCTGATCTGGATGGCTAGGAGGGTGTCTCCCCTCTCCCTCACCGCTCCCACTGTGCACTCAAGTCGAAGAGGACAGACATAAAGAAGGACTACTTTTCAGTCAGAGGTATACAAGTAGCTGTGCTTCTCTGCAAGAACTGCCAAACAAATGCTCAAGAGGATCATGATCAGGCTGGCCCACATAGCTCAGGTATTAACTTACCTGAATAAAGTCCTATATACAAGCTGCTTTTAGACTTAATAGAAAGGACAAAGCAGCCAGGCACCAGTGGCCCATGCCTGTAATCCTAGCTACTCAAGAGGCTGAGATCTGAGGACTGTGGTTCAAAGCCAGTCCAGGCAGGAAAGTCCATGACTCTTATCACCAATAAACCACCAGAAAAAAACAGAAGTGGCACTGTGGCTAGAGCACTAGCCTTGAGCTGAAAAACAGTGCCCAGGCCCAGAGTTCAAGCCCCACAACTGACAAAAGAAAGGAAGGAAGGAAGGGAGGGAGGGAGGGAGGGAGGGAGGGAGGGAGGGAGGGAGGGAGGGAGGGAGGGAGGGAGGGAAATGCTGAAGAAAGTAGAACTGGCTTCTTTTTTTTTTTTTTTTTTTTTTTTTAAATTTTATTTTATTTTATTTGAGAACATACTGTACAGAGGGGTTACAATTACATGGTCAGGATAATGCATACATTTCTTACCAAGCATTGCAGCCTCCTCCTTTGTTTACCCTTCACCTCCCTTCCCAGCCTCCCCCCTCCCCCCCCACCCAATCATACCCCCCCTCCCCCCCCTCCGACATTGTAAAGCTGGTTTTGACATGACATTTTGTACTTCTCATTGTTGCAACAGGTCCACCTGAGAACTGGCTTCTTTTTTAGATTCAATTCCAGCTCTGTCATAATCCAAGACCTTAAGAAATTACTTCCTATCTGTTTTTCTAAACACAGATGTTTCATCTGAAGGAAATATTTTCTCTTCAAAGCTTAAAAAAACTAGATGCAAAATGCATTACTAATATAGAAACATGACCCTTTAATATGGATTCTAATGAGGGTATACCTAAAGCATGGTAAAGTACACTTAGAGGCAGCCTGATTTGCAAACTGCTCTTACAAGCTGTGTCAAAATGGGAAAATTACTTAATGCTTCTAAGAACCTCAATGTCTTCCCTTTCTCTGATACAGATACAGTATCTGTATCATGAAATTACTGTGAAGGGCAAGGCAGAAAAAAAAAAGTTGTGAGAAAACTGGCTTCTTGGAAGTGATAGAAAGCTGTAGACAGAATGTAATCAGGGAGGTCCTTGACATTCTCTCCACTGGAGGATGTAGGTAAATATGTCTTATTAGGGCATCACTTATTTGTACAAACTCTTCCCAAATGGTAATATAATCCCTGAGTATAAAAGGATTGTGCCCCAGCAAGAATTAAATTTCTCAAACCCAGTGAGAATCTATGTTGAGTATAAAGTGTCATAGCAACTGTGTGCTGTCACTGAGGGTTCTGGAGGACAGAGGGAGCTGTGTGATGTTAAACAGGATCTACTCTTGCCCTATGGAACCACCCCAATTACCAACAAGGACTGTCTTTGTAAGGAAGGAATATTGTCCACCACAGGCAATGCAGTATGTAAAGCACTAAGCCTAAAACCTGCTGCATAGTAATAATAGATCAATAAATTTGAGCTACTGCTACCAGTAATGTTTTTATTAATCCTGTTTTCAGCAATTTAATTAATAAATTTATAAATCTAAATGTGTACTGTTTATCGGGAGTAGACTAGTCACTAAATTACCTTTACAATAGTGCATTTTTAGTAAATTTTAGCCGGGCACCGGTGGCTCACGCCTGTGATCCTACTATAGCTACTCAGAAGGCTAACATCTGAGGATCATGGTTCAAAGCCAGCCTGGACAGAAAAGTCCCACTCAAAAACTACAAGTAGTGCTATGGCCCAAGTGGTAAAGTGCTAGACTTGAGTAAAAAGAAGCTCAGGGACAGCACCCAGGCCCTGAGTTCAAAAAAAAAAAAAAAAAAGGTAAAATTTAGTTCTATAAGAAGTCATAGCATGGGATGGGAAGGTGGCTCAGTGGTACAGTGCTTGCAGTGCATACATAAAGCCCTAGGTTCAATTCCTCAGAACCACATAAGCAGAAAGAGCTGGAAGTGGCGCTATGGCTCAAGTGGTGGAGCACTAGCTTTGAGCTGAAGAGCTGAGAAACAGCACTCATGCCCAGAGTTCAGGCCCCATAACTGGCCAAAAAAAAAAAAAAAGCCATAGCAAAATTAAATTACAAAATTATATCAACATTGTTATGCAATATCTAGACGGGAAAAGGATTACATATCAGGCTCACATTTGACAAATATTCCTAAAGGATGAAGTGAGCTAAGAGTGTTGGTTGCAGCCTAACAAAAAGTAAGCTAAATAATCTACAACATCATAAATATTCTTAAGTCCATCTGAACTGAGGTTTCAGTATAAGTATGCAGCTTAAAGTAACTATGGCATCTGAGGAAGATGGACTTTCACTGGATGCCCATGAGTGAGGGTGTAATGCAGTACAGTCTAGGAAGAGGGGAAAATAGGGCACCAACAGAAAGCATAGGCCACTGAAAAAAGAAGGCAGCCAACTTGAGAGCACAGAAGATTCACTTTGGGGAGAGGGGAAAATGCAATCTCTAGCAGGCACTGATAGTTCATACCTATAGTCAGGAATCTGAGATCTGAGGATCACAGTTGGAAGCCCAGGTAGAAATGTCTGTGAAACTCTTATTTCCAATTAACCAGCAAAAAGCCAGAAGTGGAGCTGTGGCTCAAATGGTAGAGTACTAACCTTGAGCAAAAAATGTTAAGGGATAGCCAGCCGTGAGTTCAAGCCCCAGAACACACACACACACACACACACACACACACACACACACACACACACACACACACACACACACACACACACACACACACACACACACACACACACACACACACACACACACACACACACACACACACACACACACACCTCCCCCTCCCCTCTCAGGATACTTGAGAGGCTGTTATAGATAATCCAATCTTCATATTCTGCAATCTAGATGTTATAAGTAATGTTATGTTATTTGAATTTATCAAATATTTGATTTGATTACTTCAAGTACAAATACTAATTACCTTTCTATCATAAAAAATGTAAATACCAGAAACAGGAGAAGGCTTCCTGATCCCTTACTCTTCCAAATACAAAACCATTTCCCTCAAATCAAGCACAAAAAAGAAGCTATCATGCAAACATTTCAAAAAAATGATATTTTAAAGTAACAAAATAAGATGCTTGAAAATGGGGGCTGGGAACATGGCTCAGTGGTAGAGTGCTTGACTACCATGCATGAAGCCCTGGGTTCTATTCCACAGTACCACATACACATACACCCAAGAAGCTAGAAGTGGAGCTGTGGCTCAAATGGTGGAGCTAGCCTTGAGCAAAAGAAGCTCAGGGACAGAGCTCAGGCCCTGAGATCAAGCCCCAGGACTGGTCGAGAGAGAGAGAGAGAGAGAGAGAGAGAGAGAGAGAGAGAGAGAGAGAGAGAGAGAGAGAACATGAGGAAGAAAATGGTCCCATTTAAGAAACAACTTAAAAGCTGCTTTGGGGAAGCCCATGAATTAACTAAAAGCAGGATAAAACCTGGGTACCCAGTCCCCAACTTTGCATTTCTGCCCTTTGATGTGAGCCATTCTCTCTGCAATCTCTTTGCAATCACCTCCAAGAAGAACAGGATTTACCACAGATTGAAGCAATTTGTGACTAGCAAAGCCTATCTTCTTATCATCTGTGGCAAATGGTAACGCTGCCCCAAAGAGAGCAGTCAAAAGCTCAGGGTAGACCACCTGCTGTAGCAATGAATGACTTGTTTCTGCTTCCTTCAACTTCTGAATCCCACCTGGGCAATGGTGAGACAGTGGACTGTGGGACCACCTAAAGCCACTTCTGACTGCCTCTAAACATACCTGTGGCTTTGCTTGGGTCTACTTTAATAATGCATACCCTCTGCCCGTAATGAAAAATTCTCCCTATTTAACACAAATGTCTGTATCACTCAAGACAGGTGAAGATGTCTGAAGATGGTCTGAGTGCTATCTTCTTTGGCTGCCATGTAACATCACCTTTTTGTGATATTCACCAGATCTCTATCTGGCATACAGGGCTAAGCAGTCTAAAAACCTGGTTTCACTATTAGGTACATCTGCCCCACTATCTTTTCTCAAAAGACCTGGAATAAAGTGACAATTCAAGAGGAAGTGTGGTGGTATCACAAACTTGCCTTGTTCTAATGGCTCATTCAGTTCTGAATGGGTGACTCAATACCTCTAGCTCACTCCCACTCTCCTGACTTCCAGTGGAATAACCAGTTACTAATAGACAGACAAGAACACAGACCTTGCTTAGTAGTGCTGGAGAAGTATTGTAGAGCTTATGCGCACACTAGATAGTAATTACAAGAAACCATCCAGGCAAAGCTCCACAGGTCAGCAGGTCCAAGCAAAGACAAACATATCTTCCTCTCCCAAGCTTTACTTCTTGCAGAATTCTGAACAGGAGAAAATCACTTTTATAATCTATGTGATCAATTCATTTCCTAATTGAAACCTGGTATTACTTCAGCTAAGCAAGTCACTGAAGAGGTATAGATAGGAGTCTCAGAACCTCTTCATGGCACCTCCGCTTTGGTCTGACACCTATACCAGTCTGGGATCAGGATCATGGCACTCTCACGTAGGCCTTAAAGGCCTACATCATCTGAAGGAAAACACATGAGCAGTGTAATATAGGAAATTACTGGGCATGTGTATTTTACATACTCAATTACATTTAATTCTCACAACTCCCCATCAAATAGGTCCCCATTTTATACAGGAGACAACAAAGACTTCCAGAAGCTAAATATTGCATCTACAGTCACACCACCTACAAAAAAAAAAAAAAAAGCTATGAGTAAATTATTTCAAGGCACATTATTTTAGCATTTCATCAAGAATTACTAAATATAGGGCTGGGAAGGTGGCTCAGTGGTAGAGTGCTTGCTTTGCAATGCATGAGGCCCTGGGTTCGATTCCTCAGCACCACATAAGCAAAAAGAAAAAGAAAAAAAAGCCAGAAGTGGCGCTGTGGCTCAAGTGGTAGAGTGCTAGCCTTGAGTTGAAGAGCTGAGGGACAGTGCCCAGTCCCAGAGTTCAGCCTCACAACTGGACCCAAAAAAAAAAAAGAATTACTAAATATCATAATGCTATAAACTTTAGAAAATAGCTTTCTCAGTTACTTGATGTAACTGGTGAGGAAAGGAGTTGTTGGCCCACGATCAGCAAAGGAGTTCAGGCCCACGATCAGCAAAAAAAAAAAAAAAAAAAAAAAAGATATACTGCTCCCTTGTACAACCATTTGAAGAGGAAAAAAAATAAATAATTGAAACTTTAAGAAAGAATTACTAAACTCAGCAGGGGAAAAAAAAAATCCCTGTATACAAGAAGCTAGAAAGTCTTTGATATTAAAAAAAAAAAGTTTAACTTCTTAAGGAAAAAAAGCACAGCTTTACAAGATAAGGACTGGTTCTTTATAAATGAGAAAGTTATTTTCTTTTTTTTTCTTTTTTTTTTTTTTGTCAGTTGTAGGGCTTAAACTCTAGACACTTTCCCTGAACTTTTCTGCTCAAGGATAGCACTCTACCACTTGAACCACAGTGCCATTTCCAGTTTTCTAGTGGCTTTATTGGAGATAAGAGTCTCACGGATTTTGCTTCCCAGGCTGGCTTTGAACAGCAATCCTCAGATCTCAGCCTCTTGAGTAGCTAGGATTACAGGCATGAGCCACTGGCGCCTGCTGAGAAAGCTCTTTTCTAAAGTTGATATTTACTGAGCCTGAAGCTGCCCACTTGCTATTTTACTAACCTGCCCAGTTCCAACTGTTCAGGAAGTAATTTATGTTATGTAAACACTATGTTATATTATGTGAAACACTACAGAAAAGTGTTGTCTTTGGAAATATACTGCTTGAGCACAATGAAAACTGAGGCATTCTTCTTTCCACATCAAAAGTGTGGCAAAAGGGATAGAAAAATAATTCCAAAATCTTCCCCATCAGACACAAATACTTTACTGAAGGAAATGAGCACTGCAAAGAGCTGAATAGCAATGGGAACATTCCCCTCAGACTCCAGAGTCAGAAAATAACAAGATATTTCCTTCTCACAGGAATACAATACCAAAGCTGCATGAACCAGAAGCCCCTCACTGAAGACTTGAACTTGTTGAAGCACATTCCTATCCGTGACCTTGCAAATCTTTTTCCTCTAGCTAGAATGCTACTTCTTTAATCCTTTCAAGGCTGGCTTCTTGCCCTCCATCACCAGTTTCCTTTTTTCGTTCTTCTTCTTCTTTGCCAGTCTTGGGGCTTGAACTCAGTCCCTGGGTACTGTCCTTGAGCTTCTTTTGCTCAAGGATAACACTCTCCACTTGAGTCAGCACCACTTCTGGCTTTTCCTGTTTATATGGTACTGAGGAATCAAACCCAGGGCTTCATACATGCTAGCAAGCACTCTACCGCTAAGCCAAGTTTCCAGCCCTCACCAATTTTCACTCTAAACTTCCTTACTAAAGCGTTTCCTCCTCTTGTAGATCTTCCCTTCTCTTCTCTTATTTTTTTCTTATCTCACGGATCTGTAAATGTGCCTTCTTGTTCTTTTCAGTACATCTGCATAATCCTCATAATTATATCCCTCTATGAAGCTAGTTGCTCATCTTTCTACTATCTCAAATTCTTAGCTAAGAGTGAGCATGTATATGATTAATAAGTTTACTTCACTCAGAATAAAAACTTAAATAACCCAACGTAATAAACACAAATGTTCTTGTAGAATAAGTCCCTTTCCCCATGTGCTACAAATACCAGGGCATCCTGCTACAGCAATGAACAAAACCGATTATAAACAGACTGAAATGTAGCTCAACGTTAAGGTACTTGCCTAACATGCACAGGGTCCTGGGTTCCATCCCCAACACCACAAATAAGACAAAAAACTTCTATTTCCAGAACACAAAAGACCTTAAATGACAGAGGAAGATTTAGAAATGTTCGCTTGCTTCCTTATTTATCTACTTAAGGTCTACTTCCTGCTCAATATCCTAGAGATAAACAGTCACACGCAAGGACGAATACCTGTTTTTATGACAGTGCACACAGCAGTAAAGGTGAAGACACACAACAGTAAAGGCGAGAACTTTCAAATCAAACCAAACCTCTGAAGGGTGAGGGCAGACAAAAGTGAAGGCTAAATTCCAATCTGCACTTGGACCTAAATTCTAGATCGTATAAAAAAAAGGTTTCCAATCCCAACACTACCCTTGCTTATAAAATAATGCTCGTGGGCTGGGAAGGTGGCTCAGTGGTAGAGCGCTTGCCTTGAATGCATGAGGCCCTGGGTTCGATTCCTCAGCACCACATAAGCAAAAAAAAAAAAAAAAGCCGGAAGTGGTGCTAAGCCTCAAGTGGTAAAGCACTAGCCTTGAGCTGAAGAGCTGAGGAACAGTGCCCAGACCCAGAGTTCAGGCCCCACGACCGGACCCCCCCCCCCAATAAAATAACGCTCCTGCACCTGGCCCTCAAAGCTAGAAAGGTTATTAAACATCCAACAACTCGTAAAACATACTTTTTGCCTTTTTCACTAGTTGAACTGAATTACATGTGCAAGAAACATGCCTCGCATCCCAGCGGCTGAAAAGGAGGACATCAAACAACCAGTTAATAATGTCCTGGTTCCACTTGCAAAGAAAACTTAACTTTAACCGCGTTGCCACGGGTTAACTCAACGACCTCCCAGAACCCACACTGTGACTATCACGAGCGCTCGACATCCCACGGGAGGAAGCGCCACGCAGGACCGAGATCTGGCCCCCACCCACCCCGCCAGGTCCTCCCGACCCGAGCGTGCGGCCGCCCAGCTCCGCGGCTGCCGAGCCCCTTGCTGGGAGGCGCTGCGGGCAGCAGACGGGAAGGAGACCCGGAGCAGGATGCCTGAAGCCAGGCTGCGGGCCAACCGCCCCACGCCGTCCCACGCCGCCGGGAGAGCCGGGCGCGTCCGGACGCTGGCCCCGGACGCCAGCGCCATGCTCCGCGGGGAAGGTGGGGTCGCGGGGCCCACGGGGCGAGGCTGACAGCGGGGGACACGAGGCCCGCGGCCCGAGCTCCCGCCACCTCCTTCCCGCCGCGAACCCGCCACGGTGGCCGGCGAGTGGACGGAGACCTGGCGCGGGGCCGCTCGTCCCCAGCCCGCTCCACCCATGCCCTCACCTGGGCCGGCACCGGCGGGTTTTCCGCCGCTGCCTTCAGCTCCAGCACCGAGTCCGTCTGCCGGTCGGTCAGCGGCGCCGTACTGTCGGGTCTCCCGTCCCACAGGGCCAGCTTTTCCCGAGTGTCGCGCTCGGCCGCAGCCTCGGGCGGCGGGAGCAGCGCCGCCTCCGCCATCGCTCCCGCCCCGGCCATCGCCCTCGCGGCCCGCGGCAGCTGCAGCACGGCGGAGGCGACCCCGACCGAGAGACCCAGGCCACTTCCGGGAGACCCGAGGCTTCCAGCACCGCGGCAGCTGCGGGGCGGGGCGGGCCGGAGTGGCCTGACCCCGGAAACGCTCCTACGGCGTGGGGGGTGGGACCTAAACCAGAACAGACGTGGCTTTAAACGGGGTACAAATATTTCCGGTTGAGATACCGAAGAAGAAGGTCCAGGAGACTGACTCAGACGGAAATAGAAATGCCCCTACCGGAAGTCTCTCCCACAACAACAATAACTTTATTGTTACGTGTTGCTCGGGTGATTGACAACTTGCAGGAAGTCCGTTCGGCCCGCAGAGGGCTTTGCGGGTCGGTGGCTTCTGCTCGCAGGAGTGAGTGTCACGTTGGCCGTCCACCGCTTAGGTCAAAACCAAGAGCATGACATCTCCAACATCCAAGAACTTTCCTCCCAGAAAACTAGTTTGTGGGAACACTCTAGAGAATTTTTTTCAGACGTATATCAGATAGTAGTAGCAAATAGCTGTTAACAATCTAAAACTCCAACGTTGAAGAACTGGACCAAAGGGCTGGGAAGGTGGCTCAGTGGTAGAGCGCTTGCCTTGCATGCTTGAGGCCCTGGGTTCGATTCCTCAGCACCACAGAAGCAAAAAGCCGGAAGTGGCGCTGTGGCTCAAGTGGTAGAGTGTTAGCCTTGAGCTAAAGAGCTGAGGGACAGCGCCCAGGCCCAGAGTTCAGGCCCCACGACTGGACCCAAAAAAAAAAAAGAACTGGAGCAGTGATTCGTAGTTCCTGATATCTGTGACCGCACAAACACAGTGAACCCAAGAATTATGTCGGAACCACCATTCAGTATAACTTTGCATCATTTTGTGGGACAGGAATCCCCAAGGGGCGAGGCCTGTCTCCTCTCACACTGAGGTGCCATGGCTGAAATGACTCTGACCTCTGGACAGCTGGGGAATGCAACATCTTCACAGGGTCTCTGAGCCTCTAGTTCCTCCTGCTCCCTCTAGCATGAATCGAGTGACGATGAAGTCACTAGGAGCCAGATCCAAGGGAGGGACTTTGATCCACCTCTCCATGAAAGAAGCAGCAGCAAAAAAAAGAAAGTCACAGCATTAATCTGTCACACATCCTATACTATGCAATCATTCAAAGGAAAGGAAATTTGCTAAGCATGGTGATTCATGACTGTAAATCCTAGCCACACCAGAGGTAGAAATAAGAAGGATCATGGTTTGATATCTTTCTAGACAAAATGTGTGTGAGGGCCCATCACAACCAATTTTTTTTTAAATGGGCACAATGATGTGCCAGCTATACAGTAATGTAAATAAAAAGATGCAGTTCATTACCACCCAGACATAAAAACAAAACAAAAGAAAACTATTGAAAAAATGACTTCATAAAGAAGCTAAAGAAGCCATGCATGGTGGCTCATGCTTGTAATCCTAGCTATTGAGGAGGCTGAGATCCAAGGATTGACATTCAAAGGCAGCCTGAACAGGAAAGATCATGAGACTCTTATCTCCAATTAACCACCAAAAAGCCAGAAGTGGAACTGTGGATCAAATGGTGGAGCACTAGCTTAAGCAAAAAAAAAAAAAAAAAAAAAAAAAAAAATCCCAGGAACAGCACCTAGGCCCTCAAGCCCCAGGACTGGCATCAGAATAATAATAGTAGGACTGGGAAGGTGGCTCAGTGGTAGAGTGCTTGCTTTGCATGCATGAGGCCCTGGGTTTGATTCCTCAGCACCACATAAGCAAGAGAAGAAAAAAGCCAGAAGTGGTGCTGTGGCTCAAGTGGTAGAGCACTAGTCTTGAGCTGAAGAACTAGGGACAGCGCCCAGGCTCAGAGTTCAGGCTCCACGACTGGACCCCCAAAAAAAGAATAATAATAGTAATGATAATAATAATAATAAATTTTAAAGATAAAGAAAGAAGAAATGGCAAGAGGCATTGCTCAAGTGGTAGAGCCCCTGACTAGCATGCTTAATGTCCTGCATTCAAACTCAGTACAAAGAAAAATAAAAAAGAGCCCATTGCCCAACAACGAAGTAATGTATGTTCTGCTTATATTACTGTATGGATTACATAGGCACAAAAGGATACTTTCAGAAGCGATAGAAATGTTATCCTGATGTATACACTATACCAATACTGATCAAAGTGCACCTCATATATATGTGTAGCATGCATTTGCACGCACAATGCATTATTCCTCAGCAATTGAAGGAAGAAAATGTATAAGTATTGACATAAGAGAAAATTTATTGTGTATTTCGAATTATATGCTCACTACATGCTGTGTGAAGCATGTTGCTTGCTTCAGTGTTTCCCTTGAAGACACTCCGATTCATTCCATCCATATCTAGCCATGACCAAGCAGGCCTAGGCATGGATGACGTATCAGCCAGGGCACCAAGCACTACTGTTTCTGATGAGATTTCTCCTCCCCTCCCCGTGCTTGAGAACTTTGAGGACACTTCTCCCATAGCAGTGCTCTTTGCATAGTATCCTGATGACTCCCGTAGCAGCCTGGACTAGCCTGGTCCCACCTGGTTCCCTCTGCTGATGTCTAGTGGGTTTTCCTCTCTTCTGTCATGTCTTGAGCAGGAAACAAGGACTTCAAACCCCATCATCTCCCTCATCTATTAAATACAAAATTTAAATTGAAGTGTGCACATTAAAGTAGGTAAAATAAAGCAGATGCAACTGTATATTAAAAAGGAAGTTGGTGAACAATGTAAATGTCATCACATTTTTTTTATTTTAAAAAGCCACCCCAAAGAAAGATCTCAAAAGATTCATAGCACATGGTTATCAGTAGTTATCTTCTTTTTTTTTTTTTTTTTTTTTTGCCGGTCATGGGGCCTGAACTCTGGGTCTGGGCATTGTCCCTCAGCTCTTCAGCTCAAGGCTAGCGCTCTACCACTGGAGCCACAGCACCACTTCCGGCTTTTTCTGTTTATGTAGTGCTGAGGAATCGAACCCAGGGCCTCATGCTTGCAAGGCATGCACTCTACCGCTGAGCTACCTTCCCAGCCCCTCAGTAGTTATCTTCTAGCAGAGAAATTAGAAAACAGTGGGACAAAGTCATTTTAGGATGTGTATTTTAAAAGGAATTCCTTAGGAGAGGAACATGATACCTATGTGCATCTGACCATACAAAATAATATTTATCAAAATGAACTCCAAGAAATAGAGACAAGAGGTTTGGGGGTGTTGCTGTTTTTGTTTTCTTTTCATCTTGTTTGTCCATTTATTTGTGTTGGGGTGTATAGGGGGAGGCACAAAAATGGTGGGACAAAGGGTAAACAAATGCAGCAGTGATACACACTAGACAGTCTGTTGAAAATGAACTATACAACTTGTGGGAGGAATGGAAGGGGAAAACTTGGAGAGGGGGGAGTAGGGATGACAGTGACAAAAAAAAAAAAGTACTTGCTGGGCACCAGTGGCTCATGCCTGTAATCCTAGCTAACTCGGGAGGCTGAGAGCTGAGGATCACAGTGCAAAGCCAGCCCAGGCAGGAAAGGCCCTGAGACTCTTTTTTTTTTTCTTTAAATTATTTTCTTGTAAAGATGCTGTTCAGAAGAGTGACAGTTACATTAGTAAGGTAATGAGTACATTCTCTATTAAGCATTGATACCCCCTCCTTTGTTTTTCTCTTACTATCCCTTCCCTCCCCCACCGTAAGACTCTTATATCAATAAAGCACTTGAAAACAGGAAGTGGCACTGGGGCTCAAGTGGTAGAGTGCTAGCCTCCAGCTGAAGAGCTGAGAGACAGTGCCCAGGTCCAGAATTCAAGTCCCACAACCGACAAAAAAAAAGAAAAGAATGTACTTATTACCTGATTTATATAACTGTAATCCCTCTGCACATCACCTTTACAAATACAATTCAAAAATTTAAATGAAAAAAAAATTTTTAAGAATTGCTTAAAAATGAATATTAGGTTGAAGATCAAAGTAAATTTTAGTTCCAATTCTGCTGAAAACTTGAATATGTCCTACAACCATACATATTTATGTCCACACTTAGTACCCTATTAACACCTACCCAAATGCACACAGTAAATTCCTGTGCTCTGAGTTGCCCTTGGGGAGAGGGCTAGGCGGCAAACTGGTTGGCTCAGGGGCACTAGGCATGAGTGGTCACTTGTCTATTCCATGGCCAGCATGCCTGGGCAATGTGTGCTTTCTACTGGAGTAGAAAGCACTGAGTATGGTCTTTATACTATGTGATTTCTGCCCTAGGAAATTATTTTAATCCACAAAGATCTACAAAATGTGCTTTTGTGCTATTGCTAGACTAGACTTGCATAAAAGGAGAAGCCAGACACCAATTTCCATGCCTGAAATCTCAGCTAGATGTAAGCGGATGGATCCAAGGCCAAGATTGGAAAGTTAGCACAAGACCTTATCTGAAAAATAAAGCAAAAGAACTGAGGGGTGCTGGGGGGATGGCCCAAAGTGATAAAACACTTGATAAGTAAGGGGGAGGCAGCCTTGAGTTCAACCCCAGCACAGAAAAGAAAGGAAGGAAGTAGGACAGGAAGAGGAGGGAAGGGGAGAGGTGGGGTAGTGAGAAGTTGGGCTGGGGAGGGGAGGTAAGGGAAGATAATAAGGCTTAAGCAAACAAACTGGGTCAGTCCATTAAAGTCAGCTTTCCAGTGGCTTTGAGGAGTCTTTCAGAATGGTGAGGGAAAGAGGTTTCTTTTTCTTTTTTTTTTTTTTGGGGGGGGGGGGTCCAGTCGTAGGGCCTGAACTCTGGGCCTGGGCGCTGTCCCTCAGCTCTTCAGCTCAAGGCTAGCACTCTACCACTTGAGCCAGAGTGCCAGTTCCAGCTTTTTTTCTTTTGCTTATGTGGTGCTAGAGAATCGAACCCAAGGCCTCATGCATGCAAGGCAAGCGCTCTACCACTGAACCACCTTCCCAGCCCCAAGAAAAAGAGGTTTCTTAACAGTGCCATTTGCATTTCAGTTTCCGCAGCCTGGGATACATACAGTCATACTGACAACAAGAAGAGAGAAAAGAGCTGACTGCACTGAGGAGTTCAGGGCCAGAGTCC